ACCATCTGATTTTAGCGCCACCATGGACGAAGACCACACAATAAGTCGCGATTTTCGACTGCACGTAAGATAGGACCCACTCTGGAGCATGAATATCCCAAATTACTCGGAGCCCCGCCAACCCAATAAGGACCACAGCTCAGCAAGGACGACGCAGCCTCAAGCAGGTCCTTCACTTCGCAACGTCCATGCAAGCAACAATCGCAGGCCGATATTTCGTAGTCACCGCCGAAAAGCCCTCAAGCTTGCGGCTCAGTACAGTGGGATTGCCTAAGAATCGTCCGAGTGGTGTTCCCCGTCAATTGGCGGTGCATCTTCATTGCGTCGGGTGTCTTGAGAGCCCGGCTGGTTGCTCTTTCAAAGACGGTTAGGCTCTTTCGTTAACCGCTGTCTCTTTACTATTATAGATATGGTTGAGGAAGAGTGCCCGGTGCCTCGGAACGACAGTATGGTCGTATTTTCGCCCCCGCGAAAGCATTCCGGGTTCTGGGTTCTGGGTTCTGGGTTCATGGGCACAACGGCCGTCCCAACCGTTGGGTTCGTACGTATGTGCATATCTGGCATAGTTAGTGGTATAGCTCCTTCCCGTTCGACTTTCCAAGGCATGGTTGGTCGCCACTGCCAAGGTTTGCGCATTCTAACAAAGAAAGCGCAAGTCAGGGGAACCACCCTTCGTCCCACTTCCCTCCTTGAAGCTCGCTGATGAGCTGACCCTGACAAGAGAGGCTTGCACCTACTGGTATTACCGCGGGTCCAGAAGCATTGATCCACGACCTCGGGATCATCACGGGACTAGTACCGGATGAAGAAGCCGCGCTTGAGATCATATTTGATATCCACGGATTAAGTGTTTTGACAATCACTCGTACTGCGTGCTGTGGCTCTACATACTTAGCTTAAGTGATGAATCAACTGATACTTTTTTCTTCAACCTTCTTTTTTGCTCCTCCCTCTTTCTCTCTTTAATTGCGGAATAATATACCGGACCTCCGTCTGTGCACTATTGGGGTTATTGGGGTAGATAACCCACATTCCAACCCATAGGCAACCAACCTCGGGATCCTGATATCCTCCCCCTTCGTGGCAAGCCCAAAAGAGGGAACTTTTATTTGCGGGAGATAAAAAAAAAAAAAAAAAAACAGGAAAGGGGCAGGGGATGTGGACGGTACATGATGGCTGCATCTCGCAGCTAGGATGTTACGGGTCTCTCCGTGTAAGTCGATGCGCTAAGCAGTAGGTATGCCACACTTCACGTCAGCCAGGGCAGGCGGAAGACATTGAGAACGAGATGAGACCCCTAGTAGGAATCATTTCCGCAACACCACCAGATCCATGCTTCCCAGAGGACCTAGCAACGAATCGGCCTAGCTTTGAATACCAAGTGCAGTCACACCCGCGCCTCCAATCCGAGGAGCCACGCAATGACGAAAGAAACAAAAAGATACAAGCGAGAAGACAAAATGGATGGGTGTAATCTAATGGATCCCCCATGTAGCCCTCAGTGTGTGGGCTCTGGCGGAAAAATTATTGATGTACTGTGGAAGGCAAGAATAGCCTTGAGGCCCTCAGGCTGCACCTTCGTGTCGGCACAGCAGGTTGCTGTCGTTCAGGGGTGAGCGCCGTTGGAAGGTACATTGAAGCCCGGCCTGCTGCGCGGCGAGAAGTATTGAGGTGCCCACCACATCCATTCAATTGATCCATTAGATCCATTTGATCTATAGAATTGATCTATCGAACTCGTTCCAAAGCTCTGGCACGAACGATGTTCATCCTGATTATACCCCATGACGTTAGCAACCGCATCACCTTGGCAAGTACATGCAGGATTCATCGACGGATCCTACCCCGAACGTGCAATTCACCATGCATTGATAGGTTGTGAGGCCCCATCATAAAACCCTTGGTGCTGCCAAGGGGTTGCTCCTCCCTCCTTGATGCAAGGAACCGCGAGGAAGTCGCCTTCGAGACCTTTCCCGGGGTACAGCCTGCCCCAGGCACTCGGCCGTGACTGCTGTTTTTAGTGTCCTGACTGATAGGGAAACACGAACCCAGCAATAAGCGGCAGGCCAACCCGAAATAGAAGCAGCGCAATTTCGGCATGTCACCAAACTCGACGTCAAACTCCATGCCTCAACCTAAACCCGAATTCGCTAGGGCAGGTAGCAGTAAGTGTTCAATTTATCGATAGGACAATTCAAAGTTGACGGAATGGATCAATTGACCATTACCCCGGCAAAGCTCGTATTGGTACTGTTCATGCTGGATTGGTCTAAAGTTCGAGGGAGTCGTGTTAGGAAGAGCGTGGGGTTGCCTGTGCCGCTGCCCACAGTGGCGTAGCCAGTGCTGTGAAAGTAGTTGGGATATCTCGAGTAATTCCTCAACGGAACGCTCATTGCTTCAATCCCTCAATTTTACCCCCTCGCGATCACCTCTTGATCTTAGGTAGAAAAGCTCTTTACAACTTGTAGTTCAACTTGAGAAGCCACTCGTTGAAGGGTGGCGGAAGGTGCATAGGTCGTTGGGGCTTAGGAGCTCAAGCCATAGCTGTGACTCAATCAGCTTCTAGTTTGTTCAGGCGCACGTGTAATCATTTCATCTTTGATCCTAGATCAATCCTAGGTCAATTGATTGTTCCTGCCAACCTGTGCTCAGGAGGTGGTTTCCCCATGTGCCAATCAAACTTTGATGCAAAAGTATGATCGGTGGTTGGTAGCGCATGGTTACATATGAAGTCACTATTGAAGAGGCACCATTTATGATGCAAGCTTGACAAATATTGAACCCACGGACACACCGCAGCTGCAGTATCCCTTTCCCACTCCCCTTCCCACTCCCTTGTTGATTGATCAAATGGAGGGATCTAGATGTATCACGGTTCCTGCACTTCAGACGGGGTCTGTTCATCTTGTGCTGGGGAGAGCAAGCTCGGTCATAGCCAGACAGACGCTAGAAGCGGCGGGAAGGCTTCTAGAAGACCACCATCAACGATTAAGTTTCCGTCTGCGTGGCACTGCCCCCAGGGGCTGAACCAGCCGGGGGTTTTCCTCCCACGCAATGCTAGCTCATGTTGAATCCCCAGCTGGAGGACCGCAAAGCCACCTTTATTACTTGGCCCCATGAAACAAAATTTGCTTCATGCGGATCCCTGGACTCGCAGGAGAGTCGAATCGCTCTTCATTTGCTTTCCCACCATAACAAGTTGGCATGAAAATACAACCTCATGGACTCCGTGGTGCAATTTGATGGTAAATTCGAGAGCGTTCTCCCCACCTTGTTCTCTTCCTAATATTGTCGCAGGAAGAACGTGAAAGCCCATCCAGATCGTCTTGTGGCTTCCAAGGTCGACCCTCGATTATTAAGCCTAATCGATGATCGAACGTGCTTGTAGGAGGCGCCTAGCTAGCAATCATGGCTCCCCATCCCGGTCCCGGTATTTTGAAAACGTGGAGTCCGGGGCTTTATTATCTCACATTCTTTTCCAAGACAGCAGGCAAAACCATTGAACCTAGAAGCACCAACCGGTGCGACGGGTCAGGAATCGAGAAGGCAACGCGATACACGTTCGGATATGCCGGGACCCTTGCCCTTTACCCCCAGAATTCATGAGGGCAGGGGACTCGGACATTTCAGTTGGGCAGCAGTTTGCCTTGTCAGAACCAGGGTCCTGTTACCCACCACCGGGCCGCACGATGCTTGTGCACTCGCACGAGGTCCTCGAGGAAGACAAACCAACCGGCCTTTGCAGCCCAGTTCCTGTCGGATTGGTGCAAAAGAGGTTAATACAGCTCCCACTCGCTCACGCCCGGGGCGCGGTCAGACAGGATGAGGAGTGCAACGGCAAGTCTTGTGTCGATGCCAGTGCACATCACCAACTTGTTCTCAGGCGTGTTTGAAAGGTGTTGTGCCATTTACGTCTAGCATTTGCACAATTTCCTCGCAACTTAGCCAAGCATGTCGAGGGCCCTTCATTTGGAAAGCTGGCCGTTGCGCCACAGCCATTGGATGACACGTTTGAGCACTCCACTCATGCGGCCCAAAAATACAAATGCCGGAGGAAGGAACGCATCCGGTTTTGTCGAAGATTTCTCCGAACCAGAGCCGATGGCCACAATCCAATGATAAGGGCCCAAGTGAGCCGCATGAGAGTGATGGAAGCTCAATGACCCGAACTTCAGCCCAAGCCGAGAACCGCGACGCGAAATCGCACGGCCGAACGACTCCCAACGCCGTTTGGATCGAGGCTCACAGCTCTCTTTGCGGGTTTGTTTACCTCTTCAGTTCATGTAGAGCAATCGCTTGCGATTCGCTTGATTTTTATCTTCGGCAATCTGTGGAGTCGAAGGTGGTTGCCGCTCGGCTGTACGGTGGCCCGCAGGGCGACTGGTAATAACAGGCTACGAGAAGATTCTCCTCGCACCTCAGATTGATATAGCCCCCATTTCTAATATAGCCTCCTCAAGCCTACGCTACAACCTGATCTGGCCAAGCGATGCGGAGTGGCCTTTTCAAGGGCCCATTGCCTTGAAGCGTACTTCGCAAGTATCCAGTACATTGCGACCCTGCCCTCCCCCACCCCTTACACTTTTTCCGGCGAATTATTTTCTCGTCAGTGACACAACGACACCTCTTTCGCGTTTAAAGTTGAGGGGCCAAAGGGATTCCAATACCTGTCAGAGGCCTTTCTCGGCGCCGTGCTCCCCTTCGCGCTCTCCCCAGGAGTCCAAGAGCGCGGTCACTGTAACTATGCTAGGGTGCCCTTTGTCTCTCGCCAGAGGTTGCGCAAATGGCACGGTTCCCTAAAACTAGAAGAAAATGCTAAAGTTTTGGATCGCCTCGAAATCCGGCTTTTGGAGGGCACCAAACACCTTGGAATGGAGAGTGCCAAGAGGAAACAGAGGGAAAAGAAAAAAAAATAAACCCACCCAAAATGGGTTTCGAGTGTGTCTTTCCTTTGGGGTTGAGCAAGCGCACGCCCTCTCGTCTCGCCCATCGGCATCCGCATGGTAGGGCTTGTTTCAGCTTCCTTATTCCTCAATACGTCGCCTTGGTCAGGCCGGGATCCTTCTAAACCTTCTCAATAAACCCAACTTCGTGGCCTCTACGCTACCACATTCCGCCCTCTCCGCTCGGCTGGGCGAGACTCTCATCGTATCTTTGGCAGCACCAATGTGGCGGAAGGGATCAGGAAAGAAGAGAACAGAGAAAAAAAAAAAAAAGCCGCCAAATCTTGAGGCCAGGGGATAAGCTGGGTGGGTATTCCACCGTCCTCCATCACAAGGATCCTTCCACCCCCTCCCCTGCCCTGGCAAGACCGGGGGTGGGATTGATTCGGCCACTGGCTGTTTCTATAATGGGCGCGCAACAAGAGACGAAAGACGAGCATTAAGATGCCCAAATTAATGCTGCCGTCATCGTTGGCCACCCTCAGTCCCCACCACACGCCCATCTGAGGTCTCGCACCTGCTTGGGGGTGAAGTAAACCAGCGCGTGCTTTAACTTCTGGGATGAAAGGAGGAACGCAGGGTGTCCCAGTCTCTCGACACGCCCGGAAGCCCGCCCTGGCGTCTGTGGCAGATCAGACGATATAATAATGCGGCCTTTGGCCCACCTCGCACTTATAAGCACTTCATAAGCACTCTGACTTACTGATCGTCCATGCTTCTAACCTTCTGTCACCATATGAGAAACCGAAATTCAGAAAAGGGGGATTCGAATCGCAGCAGAGAAGATCCCGGAAGCTTATTCCTTGACACGACGCTTGGCTAAACAACTCGGTTGACTTGTTCATAAGCACATCGACTCGCTACACATCCCGGGCTTTTATTTTACCTCGACCCTCTCGCTTTTGGAATTCTCGATTCGACAAACAAAAGCCCACAGTCGATGCAGAAAGGTATGGGAGACTTGTGCGTAAAGGTGCCGTATCACCTTTAGTGTGTGGGATACGAACCATGGAAAGCGCTTTTTACTGACATGAGCATCCACAGCCAGACGACCTTCTACTACCTTACACACCCACCCGGCTTCCCCAGCCATCCAATCATCCTACCCTAAAAGCCGACATTACATCGACGCAAGTGACGCTACCCCAGCACATTGAGAGATCAGTACCAGATATACAGCCTGTTAGCGGTGGCCTGCAAATTCGCTCCGAGTGGTGAAATTTCCCAATCGCCCGCGTCCCCTCCCCTTAACCACCAGCGCTGAGAGTATAAATCTATGTACTCGGCTGGTCGAAGGCCGCCATCTACTCTAGAGCACCTCCCGAATCCCCGAAGCAACCACAACCACGGCAGCCATAGGGGTCACACCGAATCCTACTCACCTTTCCTCACAGAAGCATCAGCCGTCCGGCCTGCCGACGCTGCCCCAAAGGGCCCCCTCTCATCAAATTCTTTCCATCCAGAGCCCGGCGGCCGTCCAGAGCGGTTCGCTCTGGCGGGATCCATGCATCGGAGGCACACTGGCGGGCAACTACCGTGTAGGAGACTACAATGTCGATTACTCTACCCAGGAGTCGCATCCGGGCGAGCAAAACCAGCAGCAACACGCTTACGAGACATCGACGCACCACCAAACGCACCAAAATACTCTGCACCATCCGAGAGCCCCGCCTAGCGGGCTCCATGACCCTCCCGAGCAGCATACACCGACGCATCACGCTCACCACCCCGTCATGTCGCAACACCACCCCCATCATCCTCACCAAGTGCTGATGGACCCATCGCACATGGGCCATCAGAGGCACACACTGGGGCCTCCCCATTTCGGCGGGCCTGGCCCGGTCGTGGCGCCTTTGTACCCGTCGATGTCGACGCCCACGCAACCGACGCACCCTTCCCATGGGGCCGGCGTAAAACGACCTCGACCCGACGACCTTGACCTCTCGGTGCCAGGAATCCCCGACTTAGAGCAGCCCGATCTAGATGGAATGCCGCAAGGTGGTATGGGAGCGGCTTATGCGGCCGCAGCCCATCAACAACAGCAGCAACAGCAGCCCCTCAGCCGGGCGCGCCACCGACCCATCACCACCACCGACTCCCGGATACGGGTCCCCTTCCAAGATGATGAGGCGTGATGGCGATGGTGGAGGAGGAGGTGCGCCCAGCATGGTTGGACAAGCCGGTATGCCGGCACCTGCCGCGAGGCCGCGGGGCCCGAAACTGAAGTTCACGCCGGAAGACGACCAGCTTTTGATCGACCTAAAAGAAAATAAGAGCCTGACGTGGAAACAAATCGCGGATTTCTTCCCTGGCAGGTCCTCTGGAACCCTCCAAGTGCGGTACTGTACGAAGCTGAAGGCCAAGACCACTCAGTGGACAGATGAAACGGTAAGTTGCCTATCCATTTCGTCGAAAGCTTTCGATGGAGGGCACGACTACAGACGCCGCGGCGGTTTGCTAATGTATACCGTATAGGACCAAAAGTTACGCGCGGCTCTTCAAGACTACGAGAACGAAAAGTGGCGCATCGTCGCCAACAAGGTCGGAACTGGCTTCACTCCAGTCGCATGCCGAGAGCGGGCGGCCCAGTTGATGGGAGAGAGCTTATAGCATTCAATGTCCCCTCCGGGAGCTTCAGCTCCCGAGTCAGGGACACAGTATATCCGCAGCAACTCCATTAACGAGGTGGGAGTTGTGATAGACGAACGCGGATAGCCTCGATTACGCGGCGCCAGATGACTCAGTCTTGCGAGGGAGATTCTGTACAAACAGGCTTAGATTCACAGGAGCCGGTGAGGGCTTTTCGTGGAGACCGCAACAAATGGGCCATTCTTCCTCGGTCATCTGGCGACATTCAAGACTCAACATGTTCACCGCCATCCATTTTGACGTGATACCCCGCTCTGCGCTAAGCTACCACGCGCTCTGAGCATGCGGGTATTAATTCAAACCCTTGGCATAATTGAAGATGACAATACTTGGCTCGCTCTTCTCTCGTCTCGTCGCAAGAGACTACGAGATAGTCTGCGAAGCGAGGTGGAGGCAAGAATGTGTCATATTCTTGCCCTTCTATCATCTGTCATCTCTTTATCTCCTCTCCCCTTCCCCTTCAATGTTCCCTCCTCTCTCTCAATTTCTCCCTCCCTCCCTTTCACGATAATGGCACAAGTATAGGTAGTAAAGACTAATCAGACCTATCCTTGTTTTCTTTACTGTCACATTCTACACGGACACAAACCCACGGGCTCTCTGCTTCAACGAATATATCTTGGAGGGTCGGCGTACATGTATATGGAATTTCATTTTTTTCTCTTTTTCCCTGTCTCTGGTTTACGAACGAAGATCTGCAATTCTACTTCTCCTTTTTTGGCGGTTTTCTTTGATTCTATTTTTCTCACCACGCCTCCTTCCGGCTTACTTCCTTTCCTATCTATGCTATACGACGAACAATAGACCAATTTTTCTTTGCTTTCCCCATTCCAATTCTTTATTCATACCGTGGCATAATGGCAACTCATTACTCTTCCCGGAGTCCTCCGAAAGCGAAAGAATTCGGCGAAAGAATTCAGCGAGCAAGCCAGAAGCGAGAGGCTGGCATGGAGCATGGAGCATGGAGCGCAAGTGGTCGTTGGCCCAAAGCCACTTGGGCAACCTCGCTTGTGCCAAAACGGCAATACGAACGTGAGGGGCGGCGCATAATGGGCGATGATATGTTCCAATTCAGCGACGACTGCCGAGCCGGGAAACATCGAGGACAATCAATGCGAGGGACAGATATTGGAAAGCGAAACAGGGCGAGTGGATTCGGATAATAATGGCCAATGGCGTGGTCACCGCAGCCTGTAGTCTCTTTTCCCGCTTCCGGCTGCGGCACAGATCAATGATGGAGGGTTTTTGATATTGCAGGGATTTGGTGTGCAGTGCAAGAAGCGCAATCCACCGGGGAGGAAAAAATATTTGGCACGACATACGCAGAATGAGGATAGGGACAGACAACAGGCAGTCCACTCTCCGCCCCTCCAATTTATCACGCACGTCGCGCTCACAGCGCAGCGGGTGTACGTGCCCCGGAAAAGTCCAGAGTTGGAGCTGGCTGAGCATTGGGGGATCACAAATAGCCGAGATCGTTAAGTTTTGGCCGCCTACCATATCCGGGGTCCTCTTCTCTTGTTCGCGCATGGAGGGCGCTCACGAAAATTCAGTCATCGCCCTGACTCGGGGGCGCCCCATTCCTAAACCGCCATTGCTTTTCCTTGGGGCGATGGAAAGGTGATTGATGTGTTGGCGTTCATCTACGAAGGAGCGGAGCCCAAAGAAAAACTGGGCCGAGAACAAGAGTGAGGCTCCCTAATGCAAGGGTCGGGGTTGGCGGCCTTGGATGGCCACAAATGGCTTACACACCTAATACGACGATGGCTGGTGCCAGGTAATGAATGATGTGAAATTTGATCAAGGCTTGGTCGGGATATAATAGAGGGCTTGTTCTTTGTTTTCCTTTTTCCTCCTCGAGAAGGGGAAGGGGGTGTTCGTTATCGGCGTTGAGGGAGATCGAGGACCATCCGTTGTTCATACTGTTGAGGGGGTGTTGGTCACTGCTTGCTCTCTCCTCCACTCGAATTCACAAGCTGCCCAAGGGGAGGAAGGAGGAAAGGTTATGTGGCTTGAGTGTATGGCCATTTTCTTTTGCTTTTCCAAGATTTCCTATGTCCATGTTCACACTGGCTTGCTCTTCTGTTGAGTCTAGTGTAGTGTTGGTCGAGACGAGACGAGGTGCAGTAGGGCGTAGTGCTCCTCTCGGATTTGTTTCCTTCTTCGCCCTTTCCGTTTTGTTTTTACTTGTCGATCCCTTTGTCTGCCTTGACCAAGTTTTCCTTGCAAGTTAGTATATCCTGGTATTATAGATTTTCACTTATTATTGTTTAAACTACAATGCAACGCTGTTGGTAGCTGCGTTTTTCGGTCCGCGTGTTTGGTTTTTCCCATCATCTCAACTCTATCACGGAGGTTATGGCCCTGGCTACGTCGGGCCCGCGCGCCAACTATAATAATAAGAACCGGCGAGATCAACACCCTGCTGCTTGGAAAGAAGCTACCACCCCAACGGGGACGTGGGCCGGCAGAGCCTTGATATGGGGAGTTTCAGGTGCCTGACGGCACTTGGTGATGCGGCAAGCCCAGTGGACAGATCTGGAACGGTGGGGAGAGTGTTTGAGCGGAGAAGAGGGGGGTGGGAGGCAAGCGGACGAGAGCGGAGAATAGAGGAGAAGGGGGCTGGGGATTGGTCGGGGGAGCGGAGGGTTTGGAAGAGATGTCGTGAGGCCAGTCCCAGAGGAGGGATGTAGGCGTGCACGCGTGCGTGGATGTATGTGTGTGGGATTCACATTCGGCCATGGATGAATATCAGGGCCCAGCTAATGGAGGGTACAATATGCCTTGATTGGGTTGGGCGGTATCGCTGCCCGCCAAAGTCCCGCGGTAGTATACGGTACATCTGCCGGCCCTCGTGATATACCCTTCTGGAAAGGCAGGCCGCGAACGTCAGGTCGGGTGAATCTAGAGCTTATTGTCTGAAACAAATTGGGAGATGATAGAGTGAGTGAGTAAGTGGAGATATGGGGAGGTGTAGAGAAAGAGAGAGAGAGAGAGAGAGAGAGAGAGAGAGGAGAGGGAGCGAAAGGGAGGGGGCTGGTTGTTCGCGAGGCCCTTTGGTCGCAGCGGGTGCCTGTGTTTGGTGTTTGGGTTGCACACCTTCCTTTTCTCGCGCCTGCATCTAGGTCTTGGAACTTGGAAGCCTCAAAGGGCTGCAGGGAGCGCGAGAGAAGGTAAGGGGGAGGGTGGAGCAGTAGAGTGGGAGAGGAGGGGAGGAGAACAGCACAGGATGGTGGGAGGAGGGGGATGACTGCCCGGCTTTGTTTGGGGACGGGCTATTCCCGCGTCGACTGTGCGTGCGTGTGCGGTGTGCTCTGTCAACGTCAACGCGCCGCGGGCCGTGGAAAGGGAAGAAGGCGGTGGGAGGGTGATGTGGACTTTCTTTTGGCGGATCCTGGTTGCGATGGGCCATATCAAGATGCAATATAGGTTCAGGGTGCCCACCAACGAAGAGGGGGCGGGGGCGCGCGCATTCACGCGCACACGCACGCGGAGAAAGAGAAAGAGAGAGAGAGAGAGAGAGCAGAAAGAGAGAACAGAAAACAACTGAACCGTAATTACAATGTTTGTTTTTCGAATCATGCTTGCTTGCTGAAGAGCGCATATGCAAAAGTAAAATGGGCCACCGGTGGCCTAGGTTCCCCCGCCCGAGAGAGACAAAGAAAAAAGGAGAAAAAAAAGAAAAAAAAAAAGAAACAAAAGCCTAATTTGTCTGCTGGGATTGCACACTGATATCTGGCGGAATTAATCATGCATCGAGTTTGGCGTCGAGATGAAGGGGTGGAGCGGATTCGCATCGTGTTGTTTGTGGGGGTTTTTAGAGGGTCGTCGAGACGAGGGGGCGAACAGGACGCGGGGTTCCGGGCCAGACGGACACTTGCCGGAAAAGTCCGTAAGGCCGGCGTGTTCGGAGCTTGAGGTGTAACAATTGATGTTGCTACGCTGTGTCGTCGGCGCTACTTCATTATTTCCCGCTGGAGATTTCTGCCTGGGTTTCATTTTTAACCTTTGTCGAGGTTCGGGCGGGGGCTGGAAAGTGGAATCGCGCGGTTCTTCCTCATTTCTCTTCCGCCTTTTCTTTCCTTTTTTCTCGTTCTTTTTTTCTTGGTCTTTTATGAATTTTTGTTTCTTCTTCATTTGAAGAAGGGAGGGGGTGGCTGTGATGGAGATGTTTGAGCCAGGATCAATAATTCAATCCAAGTCCTGGCGCGGCTGGCTTGCCCCCTGCCCCGGGAGGCCCAGCTGCTTGGGTCAGAAAAAGAAAAGAAGAACCAAGAAGAAAACCCCCGAAGGATCTCGCGGACTGCGGGGCTGAAAAAACTTCTGTCCACAGGTTTTATCAATGTGACGGGGGCCAATTGGCAGCGGTCCCCGGCCACTCAGTTCTTGGGATTAAACGGCGTCGATATCCATCTGGGGAGGGGGGAGGGGGAACCCTCACACCGTCGACACTTCAGCCCGGTGGATCTCTCCTTTTGGGCCCCTTCAGCTTGGTCACTGTCAAGGATTGATGCTCGAAGGGGGTCCTGGTGAGCGTTGGTGGAGGGGCGTGAGAGTTGTTCATCGAGACGGCGAAATCAGCTCGAGTGTTGGCTCTCGATGGGTTTATAAATCCATCCATCCAGGATTGATGTGTGCTGAAGATGGCTTTAATCCTTCAAAGGCAGAACCCGGACGCTTGGTTGGATGCGTCACCATCCATGTCCGAGTCTGAAAGCCGTTGGCCGTCTAGTGTCTGCCCAACTCGAAGGGCTGACGCGCTAGGCTTGCTAGGTCTGCACATCCCACGTTGGAACAAGGCAATTAAGCGAAGGGGAGATGGAAATCCCGCACATGATTCGAGCGAGAGCACGGCGTCGATCTGGACACGGTGTGACGAGAACAACGATCAACGACCGGGATAGGGCGAGGTCGAGAAGGAGGGGGTGAAGAAGGACAAGACAAAAAAGGGAAGAGTAGGTAAGAAAAAGAAAGAAAAATTCAAGGACAGAGAAAGTGGCTTAGATGTGTGTTAGTCGTTGTGCACGAGCTCACCCAACTCATACCTATCTGAGGCTCAAGAGTTTGATCAGGCGAGAGCTACTGGGGTCGCCTGTTTCCCCAGGGCGACCGGTCACGCGTGCTGGTTCTGGTCTGGATCTGCAAAGACGGTATTATTGCAAGCCATCAAGAGATCCATTCATAGATCAATAGATGGACCTTTTGATCGATCCAGGGTATGCAATGGTGTTGCCATGTTCCCACATCCTGGCAGCGCCATCAATAGTAGATGTTGTTCATGAGGGGGTGTGGTTGAAGAACATCTCGCGACGCAGGAACCTAGATCCTGTCCATAGATCCATGGATGTCCACCGGTGTCAGCTGAGAAGGGTACGGCAAAAGCAAGGACAAAGTTATACACATCAAATTTCATCGTGACGAAATAAAAGTCGTAGACTCATTAGTTGGCGCTCCCGGAGCAGTTCTTGTTTCTCCTCGCCAAGCCCTTGCATTCCCTCCGCCATCCGGTGCCACCGGGCTTCGACCCCTTGATCCCCGGCCGTCCCTTCCGCGCCTTTCATTGTCATGATAGTGACGACACCTGCTCTAGCCCTTTCAGCCTCGGGGCTTGTTTGAGCAGCTTTCGAGTACGCCACTAACAATCCGAGGGGCGATGAACGACGGCACAGGCAAAAACGCGGGATTTGGAAAAAGGGTAGAAGGTTGGCGGCGCATCAGCCGCTACGGATATCCACCCAGCTGAACGGACCAGCCAGTCTTAAGCTTTTATGTCGATCCCTGACGAGGCCGAGGGGTGTGCTGTTTTGTTCTTGGCTCGGCCGAGTTCCCCCTCGCTGTCATGGAAGGGGGGTATCATCGTTTGTTGGCTCGCTCCATGTATCACTTGGGTCGAGAACACATGGATGCGTCAAAGTCGCTACGGTTATGCGAGAAAATAAAAAGAAAAAAGAAAAGAAACAAAAACCCCCTGGTCGCTCTGGGCTGATGAGATGCGCCACGTGTGCCATACACCAGCCATTGTCGATTGACGGATCTTGCGGATCTTTGTGGAATTTGCGGGGGCTGGGACCCGGCCCGGAACGTTGGTCGGGGCGGGGCGGTTCGGGTTCGACAACGGGCCTCCGTGGTGCGACTGGCTCGCCGGCATGGCCCCGACTTGGTTGTATGGGGTCTCTGTGGACTGCTCCCGTCGGCAGCCAAAGCAGTTATCCGACGGGGACATCCCCGGCACCCGAAGCTTATTGGGTTCCAGGCTTAATTTCCGTCGCGAGACTGATGGCTAGGCGGAGGGCGCACTATCAATTGATTTGGTCCGATTTTGCTCACACTTAGAGTGAGAGTTTCTTTCTTTCTTTAGAAGGACGCAAAGATCCCGCAATTTACAAAGACACGGGTGCTCTACCGCATCCCGCTGTCACTGGACCCAATGGATCATATTCCAACATTATGGCATTCGTATTTTTAGGTTTGCTGCAATAAGGCGTCGCGTTTCGTTTTGTTTCGGGAAATATTTAATACAAGGAGGAGTACAACCAGTCGAGTACCTCCGTGGCCCCTACATAGTACCGGACAGAGCCCTTGCGGTATATCCACGTGATATGGATCCATTGGCTTGGTTGCGGCTTCCCGTCAAGAATTCAGTGAGCTCCAGTGGGGCACTAGGCACTAGCTTGAGCTAACTGGCAAGGGCTGGCCAGAGCATTAGTGAGCAGTCCTGACTCTCAAAGCCACACAGCCACACGGTCGCCACTTGAAAATCACCTTGACTGCCTGGAACGTCATCACTGCACCGATTATCAAAAATGTGCATTGGTTTGTGCTCACAAGCATGAACCTGCCTCAGCTATCAATCTCAATCACCAAGATCAGATTCTGGATCAATTTCATTTTCCTCAAGTTCTACGGACCATATATGCATATGCGAACCATGATACGTTTTGATTCGTGAAATTGAACCCCAGGCCACGGCAAGGAGTGAGGCTTGTTGCCGCCTTGGAGTGCATAAGTCGTGAATCCTGGGTTTGCGCCTTGCCTTGCCTTCGCTCGTGTTTCACCGGCTTAATTCACCAAGAGTCAAATATCGGGAATTCAACCCAAGCCATCGTAACGGGGCTTGGTATCTCCTCTTTCCATCTCCCGTTTCTCTTTTCTTTCGGGTCTATCAAGGTTTTCGCCTTAAGGAGCCTTATTATACCCACAGCCGTGCTTGAGGCTCGGTAGCTTGACCCCTGGTTTACCACCTTCGTCCTTTTCAGGTACCCAACGTGCAATAGACCGAGGGTTGAGTGGGAGCTGCAGCAGTCATGTCTGAGATCACTGACCCTGGAAGGGATGGGACGCAAGAGGACATCCAAGCCAGGGATCCGCAGGTCAACCCTGCCGGAGGAGGGGAGGCGGGCGATGTAGCCTCTGCCCTCCAGGGGCTCGTTGATATCCAAGACCACACCGATATTGAGCGCGATGTTTCCAAGAAAGCCCAGGCGGCTGCCTTTGCCGAAGAGAATTCAAAAGACGAAGCTCGCATCGTTAATCTCCGGTCTAAGATTGAGAAGCTAGAAGAGCAGAAAAAGACCCTCGCGTCAGAAAAGACGAAGAAGGAGCGTATACGCGCACCAAAAGCCAGATCAATGCTATAGTCGACAAGATTCTTGCTTGCGGCGAAAAGATTACAGATTTCAATGACGAGATAGCTGCCTTCCAGGAGCGCATCCAGCAGCGTGATAAAGAGGCTGCTGCGGCTGCTGCTGCCGCCGCCGCCGCCGCGGTGGCCGAAACAGCAGATCCTCAGGCGGATACAACAGAACCTCGCCGTGGAGGCCCCACCCAGGAAGACGGCGAGGACAGGCGAGCGTTTTTGATACGAACTGGCAAAATCACTCCCTTTTCCGCGGTCCCGGAACAGGACGAGGAAGAAGATGGCGAGAGCTTCGCTCATATCGTTGAGGCGGAGACTGCCAGTGCGGATGAGCCTCAGATCCAGACCTCTCACCAAGTGCTTCGCCAGCCCGGTTTCCAACCCCAGAAAATACGGCCTCCGATAGATGATCATGGCATCGCCGAGGATCCGGCCACCACAAACCTCGAGACCGAGTTTGGCCTCAGGCCAAGAAAGAGGCAGCTCTCGTCGCCTGCGACTGCCGACGCGGACGGGGCGGGGAAGGTCGTGAGGCGACTCCTTCTAAAAAGGCGAAGCGAGGAAAGCGTAGGCAAGGGGATGACGATGACGACGATTACAATGCCAGCAGCGATCACGAATCGGATGTCGTGGAGTCTTCAACCGAAGACGGCCCAAAGAACCATCTCGTCAAGTTGTCTGTGATAGACGACGCCAAAGCATCCGTATACAAAGCCCGAGTCTCGAGATGGGTTGAAGAGCGCCAAAAGCTCCGTGCGAGTTTGGGCGAGGGCGAGGGCGAGGGACAGGACGACAATGAAGAGGAATGGTTTAAGCCGACCCCGGGAAAACCGAACAAGAGAATTTTCGAGGATTACTATCTTCCGGAGGAGGTCCATGATTTTCTCTTCCCCTTCCAAAGAGTCGGTATCCAATGGCTTGCCGAGCTGCATTCCCGGAGGGAAGGGGAATTCTTTGCGACGAGATGGGTCTTGGAAAAACGGGTAAGCCCAGTCTCGTTTACCAAATGAACGGGGGAAGTTTTTTGATATGCTAACCAACGTTGCACAGTTCAACTCATTTCTTTTATTGCCGCCCTCCATTTCAGCAAGAAGCTCGATGGGCCCGTCATCATCCTCGCTACCACCACCCTCATTGCCCAATGGGTCAGGCATTTCCACCAGTGGTGGCCGCCTCTTCGCGTGTCCATTCTGCATTCCACGGGCACCGGGATGATGAATCCAAGTCTCGAGGATGACGAGAGATTCTCCTCCAGACCCGCCGCCAAAACCGCCGCGGCGCGCAAAATCATCAGCGACGTCGTCAAGGATGGACACATCCTGCTGACCACGTACCGTGGCCTTGACACATACCTCGACGAGCTTGCCGAGATTCGCTGGGGTTACGCTGTCTTGGACGAAGGCCACCATATCCGGAACCGAAGCACCGATGCCGCGAAAGCGTGTAAACAGCTCGACACGTGGCATAGGATCATCTTGTCGGGCACCCCAATCCAAAATAACCTGCGCGAGCTTTACTCGCTCTTCGAGTTCGTCAATCCCGGGTTGCTGGGCGACCTTCGCCAGTTTATGGAGTTTTCGAAACGCCCATCCGCAATGGCCACCACCGAGGGGCTAGCACTCTTGCCATTGCCACCGGCGAAAAGTGTTCCAGAACTTTGAGAGACACGATCAAGCCGTACATGCTCCGCCGCATCAAGGCTGACGTGGCCAGCAGCTTGCCCCCAAAGTCGGAACAGGTTTTCTTCTGCAAGTTGACGCCACGACAGGAGCAGATCTATCGCGACGCCCTGGACGCCCCAGAGGTCAAGAGGGCCTTTAATTTTGGTACGCCCGCCGAAACGCAGCGTAGAGCGCTCTTCTCGGCGATTGAGACCCTGCGGAAAGTATGCAACCATCCCGACCTCCTCTACAAAAGGAATAGGTCTGAACTGCCTGATTACGGCCATATCGAACGCTCCGTGAAAATGCAGGTTCTCTCGGAGCTTTTGAAAATTTCGAAGCGGTTTGGCCACAAGACCCTGGTGTTTAGCCAGAGTCTTGATATCTTGGATATGATCCAAACCTTGCTCCGCTCCCAAGATATATCCTTCATCCGCATGGATGGCAATACTCCCAACACGGAGCGGCCACACATGGTTGACCAATTCAATGACTCTCCAGACCTCGACGTCTTCCTGTTGACCCCCAAACCGGAGGGGTTGGCCTGAACCTGACCGGGGCCGACCGAGTCATTCTTTACGACCCAGCCTGGAACCCTGCGGTGGACCGACAAGCCATTGAGCGCGCTTGGAGGCTGGGCCAGACGAAATCCGTCAAGATATACCGGCTATTGACCCCCGGTACGATCGAGGAAAAGATGTATAGGAAACAGCTGTACAAGCAGTTTGTCGCAGACAACATGCTCAAGGATGGTAACACCAATCGGTATTTCGATACGACAAACCTGCAAGACCTGTTTGACTACGGGTACGACGCGCCAGAGGCCCCCTCTTCGACGACGTGCAGCCAGGCGCGCCTCCCCAAAACCTACCCCACCGCGGGCCGAGAGCAGATGCCGGCGAGCCCAAAGAATCAGAGAGCCGGGCTCTCAACGCCGTTGAAAAATTTGGCGGCCTCGAAGAGTACCAGGAACCCGCAGCCGAGGAAGACAGCCTACTCGTCGCCGTCGCCACGACCAGCACCGAGGCTGTCTACAACCACGACGACGTCGTCAACGCGCGGAGTCGGCAGCCACCCGAGAAGCGCCTCACCGAGCAGGAGGCTCACCGCTTAAACGAGCGCACCGTTCAGTTCTTGCGCCAGCAGGCTTCCCGGGCGCACGCCGCGCGCTCCGCTGGCCGGCCGGGGATCGTGGACGCCTCGCCACGTGGCGCGCCGGCGAACCCGGTGGCCGCGATGGCGGCCGGGCCGGATAAGTCCAAGTGGAAGGTGGACAAGGTGAAGGCGCATATTGTGACGTTTGTGCGGAGGAGGGGCGGCAAGACGCAGACAAAGGATCTAGTGACGTATTTCAACCGGGAGCATAGAGGTATACCGTCGGATGTCTTTAAGCGGGCTCTTTACGCGGCGTGCGTTGAGGATGAGTCGAGCGTGAGGGGCCGGTCGGTATGGAAGCTCAAGCCGGGCCAATAAAGGGTGCATTGCCATTTTTTTTTTTTCTTTTTTTGATAGCTCACTCTATTCTTGTTTTGGGCCCTAGATATAGATACCCTTTTCTAGCTTTTCTCAGCATGGTCGTTTGAGTTGCATAAAGTACGTAATTTTCATCAATCAAATCAAGTAGCCAAATTACTGCCGCAATGAGAGTCCCAAGGGTTTGAGTACAAGTTCACGGTGCCACGACTACGATATGGTCAAGTGCATTGATTCCGGGCGCCTGAGCTGCAGCTGATGTTTTGATCTACCTAGATGAGACCTGGATATGCGAACAATAGCTTTGCAGAAGAAGAAAGGGGACCAGGCACATGGCCGTTCCCCGCGTCTTTGTTTCCCATCATGGCCCCGAAAATACCAAAAGCAAGGTCCGAACTTTTGAATAACGATTGCAATCGTTCCAGAACCATCCATCCACACGTGATACGAACGCCCAGAAAAGTGATGCAAGTAAATCACAGACGACGACCACGGCGACCACCCTTCCTGCGAGTAGAATCGGAGGGAGTGGGGGTAACGTCCTCAATGCGGCCAATCTTCATGCCGGCACGGGCGAGAGCACGGAGGGCAGACTGGGCACCGGGACCGGGGGTCTTGGTGCCGGTACCTAGAAGGAGGAGATGGGGGTTAGACAAAAATTGGCCTCGAATCACGGCTTTGAATCCCTCCGGGAAAGAAACTTACCACCGGTAGCGCGGATCTTGATGTGGAGGGCAGTGATGCCGAGCTCCTTGCAGCGGGCAGCGACGTCCTGGGCAGCCAACATGGCAGCGTAGGGGAGGACTCGTCACGATCGGCCTTGACCTTCATACCACCAGTAACTCGGCAGATGGTCTCACGGCCACTGGAATCACCCATGTTAGCCTCTTTGACCACCTTTTTTTCTGTTCTTCTCTGTGTGCACCATGTCCATGTCGTGGCGGAGAGGGGGAATTATATGGGGGAATTGTGTAGTTGGGCGCAACTATTGACGGCGCTTCAAGAGTTTACATACGTGAGATCGGTGACGTGGACGAAGGTGTCGTTGAAGGAGGCGAAGATACGGGCAACGCCGAAGACGAGCTCGCCTGAGGAGGGGTAGAGTTAGTCAAGACACTTTTGATTTTCGCACACTGGGCAGGCACGAGATCGCGAGTTTCACGGTCTCGCGGCCGGGGAAAGAAGTTGACGACATACCCTCGCGGACCTGGGGGCCCAAGGAGATGTTCTCCTGGGCGGGCTTGGAGGTCTTCTTAGGAGGCATTTTGTGTGTTGGTTTGAGGGGATGGTGATGGTTGGGAATGGAGGAGGGAAAAAAGAGAGAGAAGTGGTCGTCGTGGGCAGGTACCTCTCGAAGTTTCTCTCTCCCGCCAGGCAAAGCGTGACAAAGACCAACTGAATTGAGGGCTTGGGGCATTTTTAGGTGTGGGATGTGGCAGAAAGGGTGGCGCCCAATTAAAGAAGGCGGTGAGGATAAGAGAGTGGGGCGGTCACAGAAGCCCTAACGTGTGGGGACCTAGTTGACCGTCGGATATTCTCTGGGGGCAGGAACATGAGCGCAAGGGCAAAAATCTTTTGGGCGTCCCTTTATTTTTCCACGATCTGGTTCTCCCCTTCTCTCTTCCCTTTTCCACCCCCATCGCCAACCATCACCCAACAACCGGTCGCCAATCCGCCTTCACACAACACAATGGCTCCCGCTGCCACGTACGGCTTCCCTTTTCCTTGAGTGCTGCCCCTTTTTCTTCTTCTTTTGAAAAGGAAGAAGATTGTGGATGGTTTAGTTTCGCTCGAGCCTGAAAATTTGCAGATTGCGTGGTCCTCTCGCTGAAAGCCATCTTCAATTCCATGAACCGCCTCTCTCTTGAGAGCTTGTGGAAACATGGCTGCCAGCTCGATCCCTCCTGCTCTTCTCCCTCACTTCTTCATTGCCTGGAAAATGGCAGTGCAGCGCGAGAGATGTTGAGCGGGGTGTTGGAGATGAAGATTTCTTTTGGTGGTCTTGGACCCCAGTCTTCGCTCCTAAATCTATTGCTGCCCTCCAAAGCTCCTGCAATCGCCTGAAAATTGGCCTAGCAAGGAGCTTTTGGAACGGTGCATTATTATCTTGGGCACAGTCTCTGTGCAATCCAAGGCGTTGTTGGATGAGGTCTTGGGACTCGGGTTTGACCGCAATTTCGGTCGCCGCTGCTCTGCAGCAAACTTGTGGTCCCTCCTCACCGATTAAATATATCCTCGAGTTAGCCAAAGCAGAGAATGTCGCACCAAGCTACAATTCTCGCGCCGGCGCTCTGCTCCATACCACGGTATGTTGGACTGCTCGCTAATCTAAATTTCCTTGGTATAGTTCCGTCCCCACTCGTGACGATATCCTCGTCCCTGAGACTCTCCTCAAGAAGAGGAAGAGCCAGGAGAAGGCCCGCGCCGAGCGTGCTGCCGAGACCGAGCAGCAGAAGAAGGTAGGCTCCAATCCTCTTGTTTTCCGTTCCCCGCTCTCGGGTGGTGATTATGATGCATACAATACCCCGTCAACTAGACATTAGTCGATGCTGTTGATACAATTAACCTTCTTTCGGGTCTGACCTTTACCAACAAATGGAAATTTCATGTTTTGGAGTTCGCGTATTGATTAGTGACACAACCGCTAACATACCCGAACCATAGGCCAACAAGGAGAAGCGTGCCCAGATCTTCAAGCGTGCTGAGAAGTACGTTCAGGAGTACCGCCAGGCTGAGCAGGATAAGCTCCGCCTCGCCCGTGTCGCCAAGGATGGCGATGCTGCCTACATTCCTGCTGAGGCCAAGCTCATCTTCGTCATCCGTATCAAGGGGTAAGGCTCGAATACATCCCCACCACCACTCAGTGAATAACAGCAAGTCTCTAACTCGTGGCGTACAGTGTCTCCAAGGTCCCCCAAGCCCCGCAAGATTCTACAGCTTCTCCGTCTCCTCCAGATCAACAACGGTGTCTTCATCCGTGTCACCAAGGCTACTTCGGAGATGATCAAGCTTGTTGAGCCCTGGGTTGCCTACGGTTACCCTAACCTCAAGACCGTCAAGGACCTCGTCTACAAGCGTGGTTACGGAAAGGTCAACAAGCAGCGCATCCCTCTTACCGACAACTCCATCATTGAGGAGAGCCTCGGCAAGTTCGGCATTGTCTGCGTTGAGGATCTTATCCACGAGATCTACACTGTCGGCCCCAACTTCAAGCAGGCCTCCAACTTCCTCTGGCCCTTCAAGCTCAGCAACCCCACTGGTGGCTTCAGGACCCGCAAGTTCAAGCACTGGATCGAGGGTGGTGACCTTGGTAACCGTGAGGAGAAGATCAACGCTCTTGTCCGCCAGATGAACTAGAGAGTGTAGGGAATGAGAAAAGTCTTTATCTTCATGAATGCTTATTTCGTTTAGCATGGGGCAAGGGCATCGGCGTTTTAACGTAAATTAAAAGGGGAACTCTTTTTTAAAACAGAACCGCTGCATGTCCTGAGATCAAAGTGCCATGTAATGTGTGAAATGTGCGCGACGCTCTTTGTGGGGCCTCCATGGCCATGCTTGGAATGTAATTCTGATCATTGAAGTCATTAAGCCTCGTGATGCTATGGGGATGTGTCTATATAATGGTAATATTGTACATCTCGCCCTTGTATGCTGTGGGGTTCCGTCTATTAAGTAAAAGTACAAAGGGAGAGAAAACCTCCCATACTTTATATCGGGCAGAGTTGTTTGAGGGTAGGTAGGGGTAGGGGTAGGGCGACGCTGTGGAAACTATAATTTGAGGCTGAAGCTGCTACCGCATCCGCAGCTATTTTCAGCCAGCGGGTTGTCCGTGACTTCGAACCTCGACCCGATGAGCTCCTGGATATAATCCACTTTACTCCCCTGCAATGACATGAGTGACGCCTCGTCCAGTACAATTTTGGGCCCGTGAAGAGATTTGTCGATTTCTGTCGCATCATCATCCACGAAGCGCAAGACGCACTCATCCTCCTCGAGTGTCGAGAGTTCACCAACCGAGTCATTCGTCGTAAGATACTGGAAGCCGTGACATCCTCCACTTTGGACCTTGATCCTGAGGGCGAACCCTGGATCATTGCCCACCTTCATGATCTCGGAGAGCCTCTGCCAGTAAAAAAGAAAAAGTTAAAACCTAAGCCCGTCTCGTAACAGTCATTGGGATCATGGGAGCGCAACACACCTGAGCGGCGCGGGGTGTGATCTCGAGGAGCATCTCCTTGCCGTCGTCGTCTAGCCGAGGTTCAGTGAGGGATATCGTTTTCCGCCGCGCTATCGAATTTGAGAACCTCCGGGTCTGGACCAAGATTGCCCTGCGGCCATGAAATTTGTGTGGGTGTATTTGGAAAGGGAGCCGCGCTGTTTTCGCAGAGTTTGTGTTGGAGGGAGTTGTAAAGGAGCGCGCAAGCCGAGGGCAAATGTCGCCCAAAAATGTCGAGTTTGCCGACTTTAGGACCGTCGCGGCACCAGGGTGCGACGCTATCGAGCGTATCGCAGCCATTGTAGAATTCCTGTTGACCTCTCAGTATATCTCGAAATTGTGCGCGCGTTCGACTCGGGTTGTGGGGATCGGTATCAGACAAAGTACGGAGGCCGAGGTGGGAGCCATGTCATCTCTTGTACGTTCTTTGCTCCAGTTGCTGGCCACAGTGGGAATGGAAAAGAAGTAAAATCTTGAGGGACGACGTCAGTAAAAAACTGCCACTGGCAAGATTTGAATATGTCAGCAAGTGGACCAAGGGCTGACGAATAAATTTCGCCTTGTGACAGCTGGCAAGTTTCTGGCGGCTGACCGGTTCATCGTCGGCAAACTGTTTGTGGGCCCCTCACCACAGAGATGCACACACGAAAGCCCTCCCCACCAAATTTTACCGATTTTTGCTTGACCCTCCAGGCACGATCCGTGACAGCGCCCCCTCTGAATCAGGGCAAAAAAATATTCCACCAAGATATTCGTGGAAACGGTTGAACTTTCCTCGAAATCCCTCGATCATCGCCGCCGACGCCGACATCGACTATCATCAGAATTTTGAAGAAAAATTAAAAGATGTCGCGATTTTTCCGAGGCGGGAACGACAGTTCCAGCGACTCCTCGTCCGACGAGGAAGACCTTTACTCCGAAGAGGAAGAACTTGAGCAGCAGAAAGCCGAAGACGACTCTGATGAGGACTCGTCGGAGGAGGAAGATGAGGATGAGGACGATAGCTCCGACGACTCCGATGACGGACAGAAACAGGGTAAATCTCGTTTCTTGAAGGGCGACTTCAGCGACAGCGACGAGAGCGACGAGGAAGTCCGAGGCAAAGTGCTCAGCGCCAAGGATAAGCGCTTCGAGGAACTCGAGAGCGTCATCAAGCTGATCGAAAACGCCAAGAAGATCGATGACTGGGGTTCCATTGCGACTGGTAGGATAGCCCGCATCTCTTCCCTATGACCCCTTCTTGAACCGAAGGGGCGGTTCGATCATTTTTGTAAAACCTCATTCTTGCTAACCCATGCTTCTGTTTCATGCTTTTAGAGTACGACAGACTCAACCGACAGGTCCTCAAGGTCCAAGATGCCGGCAAGGCCCCGAAGCAGTATATCCGAGCGGTTGCCGACCTCGAGGATTTCATGAACGAGTCCCTCGCTAAGCAAAAGGTCACGCCCAAGAAGATGAACGCGACGAGCGCCCGTGGCTTGAACGCTGTCAAGCAGAAGCTCCGCAAGCAGAACAAGGAATATCAGGACCAGATCGACGCGTACCGGGCTGATAACGATGCGTTCATGGAGTCTGATGAGGAGGAGGTGAAGCCCGTCGTCAAGGCGCCCAAGGCGGTCATATACCCCGCCGACGATGCGGCCGAACCCACAGACGATGATGCCGGGTTCGTTACCTACGAGAGGCGCGGAAAGTCGGTCAACTACACTCCCGAAAGCATCTTCAAGCACCTCCGAACCATCATGGAAAGCCGTGGTAAGAAGAACACGGATAGGTTGGAGCAGATCAAGATCATGGAAAAGCTTCTTGACATTGCCGTTACTCCTTACCAGAAGATCCGTGTCCTCCTGACTATCGTGTCCACCCGCTTCGATCTTGGCTCCGGCGTGGCGACCTCGACGCCTCTAGAGCACTGGAAGTCCGCTGAAAAGGAGTTGTCGCTCCTTTTCAAGGTCTTGGCAGAGAACCCTGAATACATTGTCGTTGAGAATGCCGAGGAATGGGACGATGACGATAAGCCTCCCACCATCAAGGAAGGCGAGAAGTACATCAAGGTGCCCGGCAGCGTGGTTTCCTACATTGAGAGGCTTGACGATGAGCTCGTCCGCTCTCTTCAGAGCATTGATCCCCACACCTCTGAGTACATTGAGCGACTCCAGGATGAGGGCTCCCTGTACAACATCATCTTCCGCGGTATGCTCTACTACGAGACGCTCCGCAAGGATGCGTCTCTCGATGTCCCCCAGGACAGCATCAACCGAATCGTCATGAGGCGGTTGGAGCACGTTTACTTCAAGGTTCGTCACTTCTGTTTTAGTTGTTGCTGCTTTTTCCTATTCACTTTTCTAATCAAAGCACGACTTCTATCTTGATCCCTATGGCTAACCCTTTTTTTTTTATAGCCTAGTCAAGTTGTCAAGATTATTGAGGAGAATAGCTGGACGGCGGCTGGCGATGGTGTCGAGTCAGCCATCACGCCCAAGGCGGCGGTTGCCGATCCCACCGACCTCGTCCAGGTTCTTTCCAACTACCTCTTCAACAACAGCGAGGGTATCATCCGAGCTCGTGCCATGCTGTGCCATGTCTACTTCCTCGCTCTCCACGGCGATTACTACAAGGCTAGGGATATGTCGCTCATGTCCCATTTGCAAGAGACTATCCCCAACTTCGACATCCAAACCCAGATTCTCTACAACCGCACAGTTGTGCAGGTGGGACTCTGCGCGTTCCGCAAAGGCCTCGTGTACGATGCGCAGAACACCCTGCAGGAGGTCTGCGGCAGCGGCCGACAGAAGGAGTTCCTTGCCCAGGGTGTAATTATCCAGAGGCACAGCCAAATCTCGCCTGAGCAAGAAAAGTTGGAGAAGCAAAGGCAACTCCCCTTCCATATGCACATCAACCTAGAGCTTCTCGAGTGCGTGTACCTCACTTGCAGCATGCTTCTCGAGATTCCCCTTCTCGCGCAGACCGGATCATCTCCCGATATCAGGAAGCGAGTGATCAGCAAGACGTATCGTCGCATGCTTGAATACCACGAGCGACAGATCTTCACCGGACCTCCCGAGAACACGCGTGACCACGTGATGCAGGCGTCGAAGGCACTCGCGGCCGGCGAGTGGAAGAAGGCCATCGCGTTCATCCACGCCATCAAGATCTGGGACCTGATGCCGAGCGCGGAGGACATCAAGGCGATGCTCGCCAAGCAGATCCAAGAGGAGGGTCTCCGAACCTATCTTTTCACCTATGCCCCTTTCTACGACACCCTCTCCGTCTCGACGGTCAGCGATATGTTTGAGCTTGATGCGGCCAAGGTGTCGGCCGTTGTGATGAAGATGATGAGCCACGAGGAACTCTCGGCCTCTCTCGACAACACGGCCTCGACCATCATTTTCCACAAGGGCGTCGAGCTCAGCAGGCTCCAGGGACTGTCTCTGGCGCTCTCCGACAAGGCCAGCGCGCTCATCGAGACCAACGAGCGCACCCTCGAGCACAGGACGCAGGGCTCTGCCAACGCGTTCGAGAGGCAAGGCGGCCGAGGCGGCCGGGGAGGTGCCAGGCGCGGTGGTGGTCGCGGTGGCGGTGGCGGTCCTAGGGAGGTGGCCACACGCAACGCCAGGCTGGTGGCACACAGTTCACGGGCGGAGCGTTGGGTGCGGCTGTACGAGGATGAAGCGGATGAAGAAAATGGGAGGTGCTTTCTAGGGCAGCTAAATGCTCTGGATCATTTTATTTTTTTACTCTTTTTCTACTAACGTGTCTACCTGTCTTTTTATTATTTGCCCTCACTTTCATTTCTTTTTTTTTTTTTCATCACGCCTTGCATTGGGTTCGGGCAGTTCAAAAAAAAAAGAGGAGGAAGAAGAAGAAGAAGAAGAAGAAGAAGAAGAAGAAGAAGAAGAAAACTTCACTTCGTACGACCTCGATATGATTGCCTGTCTTTAGGTAGTTCGGAATACAGCGGATAAGGCTTATAATGATGGGTTCTTTTATCTGTGTAGCAAGGTCCAGTCTAGATTTGTGAAGTGGAGTCTCGGCATCGTTCTTTCGTCTGGGCAGCGCCCTGTTCTTGATCTGGTGATGTCTTGTCCGGAGCATCTACAAACAGTGTCCGTACAAGTAGTGTCTATTCAGGTGGCATTAGATCTATTGACGGATACTTGACGTCTCAAACAACGTAGCACGGGCGGCTTGTACGCTAAATTACTAGATGTGTGCGTGTGTGTCCATCGCCCGATCTCTCCAAGTTGGCCAAAATGCATCCATAGATCAATAGATCAATCCCAGCCAGCGGGCCGGGGGTTCTACGGCAGCCTAGACACTCCACGTTCCTCTGTCTCTCCCTGTGCTTGATCAGCCAGTTACTCATCGAGGAGCCCGAGATCAGTTCATGTTGTCAGTTTCCTGGGAACCCACATTGGCGGAGCCCCATGGCTGTTGAACCCTAGCGTGGGTCCGTGACTTGAGCCATCATTGATTGATCCATCCCCGAGGGCTCCAATCCCATCATCTGCCGCGTGAGGGCTAATGCTGACGGATGAAATGGCCTGAATTAATAATCGTTTGAGAATTCAGGGCAATTCCTCGCTTCCGTATTTGGCAGCTTCTAGTAATACATCGATGTAGCTAGGCGTTATTATCACATCGAAGCTTGGGGGAGAGAAGAAAACAACCGCCGAGTGGTCCGGATTAAGCAAACCCGCGCTACAGCGAAGGAATACGAGACTTACAAGGCAGGCGAGGAAAGAGTAAGACCTCGAGAAAGGAGAAAAAAATGAGGTATCCCATAAAAAAGACCAGCGTAAATGGGGCAGCGTCTCAAGGCATCCCACACCCGCAGCTCACACGCGCCGCACTAAAAACCTCCTCGCTGCATATACATGTACACCCATCCATTGCATTAATATGGCGTCCCTCGGGAGGCGAACCCGGGCGCGAATCTCAGGCATAAGCTTGCTGCCTTTTCCTCGCGCCGCCTCCGCATGTCCCGCGACGCCTTCCCTTACACACACCTTCCCACCGCGATATTTGTCTAATACCCACCCGACGACCACTGCACGACTCACCAGACGCTTCAGGCTGTCAACCGCCATCACCGCCCAAAGGACCATGTCTTCTTCCTCTGTCGGCGCCGCTGCCGACGCCGACGCCGACGTGTGTCGCGCCAGTAGTTCGGAGACGAAGACGGAAAAGAAAGGCATGAGCGTGGAGGAGTTTCGAATTTACAACGGCCTGGCGGCGAGAATGGATATTTTTGTAAGTCCTTTCCCCATTGTCCCGAAATCCACCCCATTCTCTCGCGACCCCGCAAACCAAACCCACCTTGCGACAAGGCTCTAGCCAACGAATCTTACTGGGGACCGGGAACGTCCCCGGGCCTCACGCCCCTTCAACTCTCTCTCTCCCCTGCCTACCATTTACGAATCTAACATTTACGAAAACGAAACACTACAGCACAACCACTTCCGGTCCGCGTGGAAAATGTTCGAGGCCGCCTGCCAAAGCAGGGGAGCGCCCGCGGGCATGAGCAAGAACCGCTTCATCCTCCACGCGCTCACCTTTGCCAGAGGTTGACGATGCACCACGGCATCGAGGAGCAGTACCTCTTCCCGCGGCTCGCGACGAGGATGCCCGAGTTCCGCGCCGAGCTGGGCATCCCCGAAGAGGGCGAGAGCCGGGAGGGGCCGCCCGCGAGGGCGGACGGGCGGAGCTGCTTACGCAGCACGACGTCATCCACGAGGGGCTTGAAGGGTTCCAGGCGTACCTGGAGGCGTGCCAGTACGGGGATGAGGAGCTGGACTGGGTCGTGCTGCGGACCAAGATGGAGGGGTGGGGGACTGTGCTGTGGGAGCACCTGGACCAAGAAGTCGAGACGCTGCGGGCGGCTAACATGAAGAAGTACTGGACGGAAGAGGAGATGATGGAGCTGTCGGGAATATGAAACGAGAACACGAAAACCAAGATGAAAGAAAGAAAGAAAAAAATCGGACGAGCCGGTGACACAGTTGCGGGAGTTGAAGTTTGTCAATCATTCATCATACCGATCAATGCTTCTTCTTCCTCGCTCTTGCAGCTTTGGCAGCTGAGATCAAGGCTACGTACGAACAAGGGATATTCGATTGAGAATAGGGTTACGGCGATCAACATCCAATTTCCCAAAGTATGTACATTACGAACTCCACCTTTACTAGACTCTACATACATGAACCCTGATCAAGAGGTAGGGTTGCGTACCATGAAGGTTGAAGGAAAAAGACAAAGTTTGGCGGTTACCACGTTTGGCCGTCATGAGCCCCTCCTCATAGGACGGGATAGAGGTGGGAGGGCAGGCAGTGGAGAAAACAAAGAGAATGAAGGGGAAAAAGAAAAGATAAAAAGACACGCTACTACCGAGCCATCAATCCGTTCATACTATATCCATTGTTTTCACACATATAGTCCCCAATATACCGTCGTTTGCTTACTCGATCGTCGCTCTCCACCGCATAATCGTCTTCTTTCTTTAAGCGGTAGCCTTCCACAGTTGGTGAAGCTGGATGACGCCGGGAATGGTGGCCAGCGCGCCAATCATGGTGTCGTTGACGAAGCCCTTCTCCATACTCCAGTGCACCGTGAGAGGCGCCCAGGCGAGGTTCCTGGCAAACGACCGGTTCCAGCCCGCCCTCCACTCCTGGTGCTCGGCGGTGGTGACGTCGCCCTTCTCCTTGCGCACCCTCTCGATGACGAGCCTGCCAATCTCGATACCGGTGCTGAGGGCCCAGAAGCGCACGCTCCACTGCATGGCTTTCATCTGCGACGCGGGCGCCAGGTTGATCACCTTCTTGGACGCGAGGTACGCCGCGTTCTCGAGCACCTGGAACGAGGCGCCGGCGCCGAGCTGCGTCCAGGCGATGGCTCGGTCGAGGAGCTCGACCTGGCCCGCGGCGCCGGGGGCCTTCTCGCCGCCACGGTAAATGGCAATCTCCCTCGCCGCCAGGCGCTTCAGGCCCATGTACATGTTGAGGAGGCCCCATAGGCGGGTGAAGGTGCGGACATCGCTGAGGAGGGCGGACAGGGCGCGGAGGTTACCGGCGGAGCGGAGGACGGCGAGGCCGCTGGCGGAAGGCTGGGCGGTCGCAGCGGCAGCGACGGCGACGCTCTTGGTCGCGGCTTCCTTGGCGGAGGCGAGGGGCACGGCGGCGAGGAGGCGGCGGGCGTACTGCTCGAGGGTGCCCTGGGTGGCGGCTTCGAGGATGTTGGCGGAGAGGCGCGAGGAGTAGCAGAGGAAGAGGAGGATGGTGTCGATGCCCGAGGGTGTTTGGATGCAGCGGTGCAGGTGGGAGAGGAAGGCGTCGATGTTGGCGGGCGTGAGGGCGAGGATCACGCTGAGGGGAGCTTGATGGCCTTGGCGGCCACGGAGCTCTTGTCGGATGAGGGCGACATGGCGGCTGGCTTTGGGAGGGTGTTTTTTTTTTGTTTCGGGGGCGGTTGTTGTTGGGTTGGGGGCTGTCCCTCTGTTTTATTTTCTGTTTCTCGGATTCTCGTCGAGAGTGGGGAAGGGGAAAGAGCTCGGCTGGGGAGAGCTTGGCCGGTAACGGCAAGTATGCGAGATTTAGCGATCAAAGATTCTCGACCGGGGGTTCGTTTGCGAGTTGTGTTTTCTCTCTGCGAATCGCCCCTGCTATTATTACTTGATGTCGTGAATGGACACAAGAATAAAATAAAACAAAAAGACAACAGTTCAAAGCCAGAGAAAATGAAAAGGGAGGTAGCGAGCAGGGAAAGAAAGAAAAGGAGTGGAGGGATAGATCCAAATGTCCAAAGGGGGCGCCTTGTCGGCTTTTGCTCTCTCACACTCTCTCTCCTCTCGGCTGTCTACTTTTTTTTACTTGCCTATTTAGGGGCCGTGGGCTTTTGGGGATTGGGGATGGAAGCGCAGCCGAGAAGTTCGGCGACGTGTTGTGCATGAAAGAACCAGACGGTTTTAATCTTGGAAGGCTTTGGCACTAGTTGGCTCGCTCCCCCACCTCGCCAGCTCCTTCAAGATCGACATGCGCACACGCACACCAGCAATGAGAGACAGTCGCAGAGGGTGCTGGCTTTTCCGTGCCCGCGCTGTCACTGCTCCTCACTGCTCATCACTGCTCGCCGCTGGGTAATATCGAGCCGGCCGTAAGTGCCGCGGCCGTGGGCTCCGTTTTGGGGTTGGCCCCAATTTCGGCAGCCGTCAATGGGTCCAGGGACCCTGTCACTGGTGAGGAAATGGGCAATTGAGCCCTCGAAGGGTGTGCTAACCCCACTAAACCCTCAGTTCGGGGTTCGGGGCTCGTGGCCGAACGTTTCTCTTTGATGGTCGACGCAGAGAGCGGGGAATGTTGAACGGGGAAGGGCACAGGTTCAATGTCCCAAGCCAAGGGTCACCCTCGGTACATTGCATCCATGATGGGGCAACTCTGGTGATTAATCAAGCAATGCCAATTGATCGAATCCATGGAATCGTCCAACGGGGATCCAGATGGCCATCATTGATGGATCTGGGCGCACATTGGCCTGACTTTTGTAGAGAAGGATCCATCCCATCCAGATGGATCCGTTGGAGTTCATGTTGCAAGCTAGCTAATAGCTCTCTTCTCTCTTGCCTTTTGCTCATCGGCGACGCCACATCAAAGAGCCGAGCCGTCAAGACGAGTGCTTGAACTGGGATACTCGGCGCAGCATTGACGGTTGAACCCCATTTTACACACGGTCCCCAAATGGACAGCCCAATTCGCCTGAAGGGCGTTGGTGGGCTCCAAGACACCAAGACAAGACAACGGTCGTCCAACCCGGGGCCGAAGCCACTTGACCACTTTGCCGAGGCATTGTGCCGGACAATACTCGGCGCCAGGCACCACAACCGACGCTTCCATTGGCATCTCGTGTATTACAAACTCCTATTATGCTGTATCTTTTCTCTAGGCTCCTCAAGAGAACCCCAGCAGGAATGGGCCCTATTAACCCACGCTTCCCCCGCGGCCCACTTAGGAGCTTTGTAGAACCTGGGGAAACGGTGCCGCTTTGCCTAGATCAATCGAGAGCACGTCGAGGAGCTTGGGAGACAAAAGAAAAAGGGGTGGAAGTTGCCTAACAACCAACAAAACGGCAAATTGTTTCCTTTCCAAGTCCGAGCCAAGAAGAAGCAAAAGCCACTCTCGACGCAATGTGATGCGATACACCCTTGTTACTGTATGGTTCTCGCAACATTCTCCTCCCACAGATGCGGTCCTGTCCTTCCCGGCTACTACGATGGGATGATTCCCTTCCCCAGAGTAAGCTAACGCCTGCACGCACCCAAGTCACCACGCCAAGAATAGTCTTCCCTCCTACCCACACTAAAAGGTCGGGAAAAAGACTTTCGAGGGGGCAAGGAGAGGGGGATGGAGGGGAGGACGGTAGCGCGGAGGGCGGAGGGCGGGTTTTTACGTTGTTCAATGAAGCTTGCTTTATTATGCGGTCCGCTCCCACTAGATTACAAAATCTCGTCCTGGCCGGGAAATACAACACCGTTCTGGACCGCGTGCCCGTGCGCGCGAGCGATGAAGCCGTAATGGGGGAAGTGCTGGTCGATCCACGGAAGCAGTTCCTTTGCGCCGGGCGTGTTGCCCCACGAGCGCATGAGATCGGACATGATGGACAGCATCGACATGACATGCACGCCGGCCCCCATCATGCGCTGGTTCGCCAGGTCGCGGATGAAGACTGACGTCGTCCCGGACGCTTCGGCGTTGGCCCAGACCCCGTACCCTTCTTCGCGCAGTGAGAGAGACAAAAAGGTCGTGCCTGTTTGGAGAATTTTTGTTTGCGCTCGTCAGCCTTTTTGGTCTGCGTGACTCTCTTGGGCGCTGTACGTTCGAAGCAGGAGGGAAAGCAGGAAAGAAAAAAGAAGAAGAGAAAGGGAAGGTAAGAAAGAGAAGGGAGAGCGTTTCTTACAGATGTCCGTCATGATTCCCGCAACGATAACCTGCGTCTTTCCAGTTGCGCGCACAGCGTCCCGAAACTCTTTGCTATCCCAGGCGTTGACCTCGCCGTTGCGGTCGATGACGGTCGCGTTCGGGTGCATCGCCGTCAGCTCCTTGGGCACCATGCCGTTGGGTCCGACCGAAGCGCTGCTGGTGATGATGACGGGTAGATCAAAGACCTGCGCGAGGCCGCCGTGCGCCAACATGTTGGCTTTGTACAGCGCCGTGTCCCAGTCCCTCACCATGTTGATGAGCCCCTCCTGGATGTCGACGATGACGAGCACCTACAGGAACCGCCGCTGGTTAGCCTCTTATCCGTGGCCTTGCTTCAACTCGCACCCTTTTGACGGGCACGTTTTTTTTTTTTTTTTTTTTTTGTTTTTCTTACATACAGCCTTTGTTTTGTCCAGCCTCTCGAACTTGGGCCCCGGTGTAAGCGCGGGCCCGCGCCGTTCGTCCGACTCCTGACGGGGCACAAAAGCGCTGACGAGCAGCGCAAAGCCTGCGACGAACAGGTGAGGCCTCATGACTGTCGAGATTTGCGGGTTGAAAATCTTCCTCACGACGTGTGCGAAGAGTGAGGGATAGGCAAAAACGAAGAGGACGAGAAGAAGAAACACAAGGGCTCGTGTGAAAGAAAAAGGGTTGCTGTATCTACCCGCTTGCTCCCAGACATCACTAACATCGTTGCTCGCCCAGGTTCCCACGCTCCTATATACCGAAAACCTTGGACCTCCTCGCGCTCAATGATGGGAAACCCACAAGCCGGGCCTGGTTTGCTTAGACAATGCTTAGCTACACCTGAGCCTGTGCCTTGACATCGCAGCCGGGCCGGCGTCGCCAACGCGCTCATTCGCCGGAACCGCAAAGGTAGGGAGGGGGCGCCCGAACCTGGGAATCTGCGAAATCTAAGATTGCATGTAACGCACCTTTTTTTTTGCCTTCCCTCGGCGATGCATGTCAGATGTTGGTCGCGGTTGGCGAGAGAGCAGCCCGTTGTCATAGCGGGCGGGGTTTTTATTGATGTTGTGGTACCTCATCTGGAGCGACTCGGCGCAAGGGGACCTTTCCCCCGCCCCGCCCCGCCCCCGGGGCCCGCAAGCTCTGCGTCTAATTTTCGGGCTTATATTCCTGCCAAGGGGCATCTTCAAGTTCCTGGCTGACTTTGGGGCGTAGGGGGCCGGGTTCCATGGGAGAAGCCTGGGGGAGGGGGAGCATCGTGATGGATTGGGTGTGGGAGGAGGGGTTGGATTCGCCCGCTCCAACTCCAACTCTGGCGCACGCTAGACGATGCAGTAATTCTCTATATTCTCCTTTTCGTTTTTCGGGTTTCTTTCTCTTTTGTGAAAATCCCGTGTCTGTGAAGGATTGGATACGACCGCCCACGACGACGAGCTGCATGAGCGGCACAGCACGCGGGAGGATCTCGAGACTGGCTGGCTCGACAAAAAACATGTCACCCTAGCTGGAGATAACGTAAAAGTGAGGTGAGAGGACCCCCTTCTTGACTTGTAAGTTAGGAAATCCCGGAATTCGCGCGCGGGGAATGGAAGCGGTTCTTGACTCTCCATCTAGGATACGGAGGAGCTTAATGTTTGGGCGTGGATACAAGCTGTTCAGGTACTAACACTTGGACTGTTGTAATCGTTAAAGCAATCACCAAGCCGAGAGATTGAAATCAAAAGTAGAACAAGAACAAGGTAGCCCGGTATACGAAGGGCGCATTCGTAGTGTAAAAGGACAAGAAGATGCCCATTTTCTCTGAGAGTGTGACTTAAGGATTACGGATCTTTCAACCATGACAGGAACTATCCACCCTAATTCAAGACATTTGTTTAAGGGTATGAACAGGTTACTTGATCGGGCGGCCTATTTTCGTACACTTCCGGATCTTGAATTTTGGCTTCCATATCCATTACTTGTATCTTGATATGACCATTCTAGACTCCCGCACCTTGTATTAGAATCGAGCCCTGGGTTGTTGGAATCATCAATAATACTCGTCCTTGCTGAGTGGACCGCGTGCGCAGTGGCCATCAGCGAGCTCCACGTGACTTCGCGCCGTTCCAGGGCCTTGGGGCGAACTGGCGCGATCAACTGAGTTTGCGGTGCAATGTGGGGTTCCACCCTGGGTCCTCGAAATGGGACTGAAGAGGTTGACGTGCAGATGGAACGGGGTCGCGCCCCGTCTTGATAGAAACTCAGACATCATACTATCCCTGACTGGAAGGGACGGCACATCATGGAGCCGGCATCGGCAGAGTCTTCCTCTTCGCCCTCCAAGGTCATTGTGACCCCCTCGAGCGACTCGTCCAAAAGTGCCCCTCAGCTCACTCCCGACGCGATGCCTGGCGACGAGGCTGAAGATGTCGTCGACTATCGCCCTTCCCGATCGTTGCCGCGCAGCTTGATCAACCACTGCCGCATATACCTGGAAGATCAGCTCTGTAGGCCGCCCTTTTTTATTTTTATTTTTTTGTTCTCCTTTTCCCTTCCTCTTTTCGACTTGCTCTTCGTTTGTCCCTCATCCTCTCTTCTAGTTCTAACTGTAGTTATCACCTAGTCGCGCATGCCATTGAACTTGCCAATAGTCTGCTCACATGCGGACCAGCCATACAAAATGGGCGGGTCACCGAGGCCTTTGTGCTTCCCCGGTGCAGATCGGGTTCATCAATAATCTCATCATCCACCCAAAGCACACTTCGCGACCAGAAACCCCCGCCCGCCGCGAAATCGCCGCCATGTCGCTGGTGTATCTGGAAAACCTTTTGAGCATGGTCGGACCTATCAATGCAAACTTGGCCGCCGCCTTTACCTTTAACCTCAACTACACCCCCGCCCCCGCGCGCGAAGGGGATTAGGTCTGGATGAGGACTTTCACGACGACGACTTCGACGACGGCGGCGAGGACGAGGAGAATGCCAAGATCATCTCCAAGCTCGGAAACGAAGAGTCCATCTGGAACTGCGGACACGACTTTTGGTCCGTCCTGGGCTGGGCCTTCAACTGCAGCGTCGTGCACCCTTCGCGGTGGCGGTGGTGGCGGGCGTGGATTGATTTTATGCTGCGCGTCTTGGACGAGGACTGGATCAAACGCGCTGCCCTCGACGAGGCCGCTGATGAGAAAAGGGGCGGCAAAGGTGAATTTGAGTTTCACATGATGAAGCAATCCCTGATTGCCAATTATGCCACCCGGAGGGGCGGTCGCGCCAACGATGTCAAGCGGCTTGTCAAGGCACTGTTTGCGGACGGGCACGAGGCGTCGCTCTCGCTCTTCACCGAGGTATTCCCGTCCGAGACAAAAGACCTGCCACGAGGGCAGAGGAAGAGGAAGCGGGACCCCGCGCTTGACTTGGAAAATTTCAAGTATGGCGATTACGGCGATACCGACGACGAGCTCGAGGCGAGCGGGCCCGAGGATGACGGCCGGTCCTTGTCTCTGACTCCGAGAAAACCGGGGCCCGGCCTGAAACGAATCGCCCCTATCCAAATTCGAGCACTACGACCAAAACATCGAGGCTCTTCTCAGCCTCGTCCCCTACCGGTTTCGCATCATGTGCCTCCTTTCGCAGCTTGCCTTTTCCATGCCGATCCTCTTCGTCACCTTGGATACCCTCTTCGAACTGTTTGCCGTGGGCATCAAGGACATGCCCCTGCACCTGTTCACCGCCATGATCAACCCTTCCTCTGCGAATGTCATGGGCAAGGACTATGTGACCTTGCTGCTCTGGGAACTTCTCTACTGCCTCCTGCCTCCCAAATTTTTGAACCCCGCCGAGGTAGACCAGGAAGCGGATCGCGAAGGCCGCTTTACCCAAGACATCCTCGAGAAGTGTCTTTTACCCCACGCGACGGAATCGTCTTCCGTGGAAGACAACGCAAAGCTGTCGTGTCTGCTGGAGGCCGTCATGATGATGATGCTGGAAGACGGCGCGCTCACCCTCGGGCTTCCCTCACGGCCATGGTCGAAGCGGGCATCGCGGCGCGGAAGAGCAAGGCGAAGATTAAGCAGAACCGGCGGACAGGGCGCTTCAACGAGTATGACGTGTTTGCCAAAAAGGCGTTGGATGATTCGAGCGACATGTTACAGAGCATACTTGGGGCCGTGCGGGCAAAAGTTTGAGTCGGAGCACTCCTTTTTCTTCCTTTTTTTCTTTCTCGGAGCGAGGCGTTACTACTACATGGGCTACTCCGGATCGGCGTATGCTGGGACTAAAGACATCAATTCATGACGAGAACATGCATGGGAGTGGTTTCTTTCTTTTTCATTCCTCTCTTTCTTAGTTTGGTATGGTCGAGCAAAGAGACGACGGGATACCCCTATTAATACATTTTTATTCCATATGCTTCGTCTTCAAATCTTACATTTCGTACAGAAAACAAAAAATCAAGGTCCTTTACCCTGCGCGTATGCATCACCGTTTCGCCTTGGAGGGTGCCCATGTGTCTGGCTGCCAATTCTCACTAGGGCCCTTTGCCCTCGCTCTCGCCGCCGCCCAAGGGTCTGCCTTGTCTACAACGGGCTCGTCTTGCGCGGGCGTCTTGTTGTCCTGCGGCGGCTGACTTTGCTGGCTCTGCTGCTCCTGTGGCGACCCGGCCCCGGCCACCGTCCCGGGCTTTGCTCCTATCGCGTCTTCTTCCGGTTTGGCGGCCCGGCTAGCTTCGATGTTGGGAACGGCCTGCGCGGCCGGCTTAGCCGCAAGCTTGGGTTTCGCCGCCCACCGGGCGTCGGCCTGAGAGGCGAGGGCCTTGATTCGCGCCTGGCGGGCTAGCTCGGCGTGCTGATCTTCCAGCGTCGGGGGTTAGGACGTAGGTAGCGCAGCCACTGGTGCCATTCGGGGAGACCTCGACCTCGGAGTAGTGGACGGAGCGGGGTAGTGAACGATGCGGCGCCAGCGGGAGTTGGGGTTCGATCCGGCGATGCGGAACTCCCAGTACGTGTAGCCCTTGAGATCGAAGCCTAGAGGGGAACGAGAATGGCGCATTAGTGGTCGCAAGGATGAGATCTATGAGGCGGCACGGCTGGCATGGTTCGGGAGGGGAAACAAGAGGGTTGAAAACGACGGTGGAAGAGCATACCAACGAGGACCCGGCGCCGCCATGGGAAGTGGAGGGACTTCCACTTGTACCAGGCTTGGCGGATGGGAGAGATGGGCTTTGACGCCATGGTTGGCTAAAAAGCAGCGCTGTTCTGGCACACGGCTCGTCCTGGTCGGGATCTTGAGAAGATCTACAAGCGATTGACAAAGTTCCTAGGCGTCAGAGGACATTTCACGAGAATCGCATGGCGCGAAAAGCTAAGGTTGAGTTGGGGTAATCTTTTTTTTTGGGAGGCGCTTTCGAGGTTGTATGAAAAGGATATTCTGACGTCGTTCGCTCAAGCCACATTCTTTTTTTCCTTCCCCGAAAATGCCTTGCAGTTGATTGATGGGACAGGCCCCACTAGCCACACGCTATCAAGATGAGGCGCACGACTCAATTGGGTTTGTTCGGAGAATATTCTTGAAACAAAGTCGATTTTCTCGAAATGTTTGCAAGGGTTTAATATCACTTTCTTTGATCTTCTTCGTAATAGCAGAGAGCCTCGGATCGGAGGCCATGAATCTCATAATAATAGCCCAAGAGAAAGACTTTTGTCATTGAAGAATACATGGAAGAGATTGAAGAAGACGGTCCCTGAGGAAGTGGACAAATATACTACAGTGGCAATTGATGCCCAGGATAACAAGTTGGGTACATAGATGGATCTATCCAAAGAAAAGAAGAACCAAAAAATGGGCTAATGCTCGAACGGTGCGGTGAGGGCCAAAGAACGGTTCGTGAGGCAGCTGAGTAGATTGGAACGGGCCAGGCCACCTTGCCCACCACGAGCGGTGCATTCGGTTATTCTGACAAGAAGCCCAGGCTTGCCAGACTTGCCAGGATGGACTTGCAGGCGTGAATTTGATCATTCGCCCACGCCTGACTAATCGGGGCTTGTTTACTCCTGCGCGGATAAGCTGGCGCTGGACCAGCCAAGCTTAGCGGATCTGCATGGGTGACAGGGTCTCAAGGTCCCCACCATCAACCCCGTCGTCTTACTCGTTGCTGTGGCGGGGTCCGTTGTCCCTCGCAACCACACAAGCTGGACCCCCAACGCCCAGTCGAGGCAGGTCGAGGGGCTCGGAAGCACCGTCAGCCCAGAGACACGGCCTGCTAGAGGCCGCCATCTTTTCTTTTTGCATTGCATTGCTCCATTGCCAACGGTGTGGCCAAGGGCGATTTGTTGTGAACAATCGAGCATTGATCATTCGAATTCATTTTTCCCAAGATCCCTCACAAGCCAAAGGCTCGTACGGGTTTTTGATCATTTCTTTATTTTCAACCTGCCTTTTTGCCCTGCGTCGCCTTTTAGGCATACAAACACCACCAGCTACACATAGACTACACATATCTCACACCCCCTCGTCTGAGGCACACTCATAGGCTTGCGAGCCAAGACAACATCTTGAACTCGCCCATCCCACGAGTTTCTCCGGCTAGCATTCTCCTGCTGAAAATTCGCCCTAGACTCTTTTCTTGAGAAACACAGTTCCGGACACCTCACCCAAGTGAGCAATTACATTGAGACATTGATCGTGGGCAAAGGCGTCCTCGCTTGATACCTGCCTCGAGTTTGTTGTCACTTGCTCGACGCCTGACCGCAGAGACAGCACCCGATACCCGCATTACGCTATTCGCATTCCAAAAGTACGCTATCTGTTTGTCGCCCTTGCGGATTTTGCCATCGCGATCGCTTCCAATCCCCATCTGGCCTCGTTTTGAAGGACAAACCCACTCGTCGTCGCCGCTATGGCGCCGACACCAGACGACTTCTCCACCCCGGGGATGGCGACGTATGACTCCGACACGCTCAAGGTGGGCGATGGAACTTGGGATTTCACCAAGGACACCTTCCTTCTACCCCCTCTAGTGGGTGTAAATTTCGACACTATGAGATTGAACGGTAAGTTTGAAGGGTGTCGACGTTCCACGAACTCGCCTTCGTTCCCCTTTTGTTGCTTCATCGCAGGCTTTGCTCGCTGAGCCTGGGCCAAACGTCGCTAACGATATGATGTCGCGATTCTTATAGGCATGGGGAACCGATTCGCCTCTCTCACGCAATACCACACCATTATCATGGCGCACGCCATTCTGGCCGCCCTCGTCTTCCTTCTCGTGATACCCCTCTCTGTAATGACGGTGCGATTCTATGACCGCAGACAAGGATATGCTCGGTCGCATCACGCCCGCTTGAATGTGTTTGGGGGAATCCTGCTTCTGGTCGTCTTTATCCTCGGAAATTTTGCCGTTGGGCGAAAGCGAAGTCTAACGAACCCGCACCACGGCATCGGCGTCGCAATTTTCCTGCTCTACATCCTCCAGATGGTTGGCGGTCGACTTGTGCTAAAGATTCAAAAGTTTCGCTCCTTTCGCATTATGCTGCACCAATGGTCGGGTAGGGCGATTGCGCTGCTAGGGATCGTGCAGATCCCCTAGGACTCACCCTCTACGGATCACCGCTCTATCTCTTCATCTTGTATGCCGTCTGGATGGCGCTTTTGGTCCTCATTTACTTCATACTGGAGTTTAGGCGACAAGGAAGACGTGACGCTCACCATGGTGGCGGCCGGTCAGACGCTCATAGCCACGCTGCCGGCTCCGAATATCCCGCCACCAACTCCGGCTACACTGAAAAGCCCGAGAAGCGAAAGTGGATGGCGCCTCTCCTGGCTGGAGCTGGTCTTCTTGCATTCATGTCGGCCAGGAAGGGCAAGGACCGTAGCCGCAGTCGAAGCCGCAGCCGCAGCAGAGACCGAAGCCGATCTCGATCTTACAGCCGAAGCCGAGTGGATCACCACAATGCCTCATCGCACCCCGGAACAAGTTACTTTAGCGACGAGAAATCTCACTACGAGGAGAAGAAAAAGGGCGGTGGACTCTTCACTAAGCTCGCTGCCGCCGGCGCAGCCTTTGGCGCCTTCAAGATGATCTCCGGTATGGGCAAGAAGGGGACTCGCGGCCATGAGGACGAGTACTCGGCCGTCTCTACCGACACGCCTAGCCGCCGCTTCCCGCCGCGTCGTGGGGGCCCAGCACCGTCAGTGATCTCAGCGAAATTAGCGACCAGTATCGACGCGACCCGAGGGGACCCCGACGATGGCTGCCCATGCCATGAGTGCCGCCTCGGGACCTCCAGGGCCTGCCGGAAGTGCTCGACCTTATGCTCCCCGCCCCGCCCATTCTCGAAACTACTCGCGAGGCAGCTTTGACGACGATTCGTATGAAAGCCCGTCGAGGCGCCCACAAGACGGGAAAGGTGGCGGTGCCGCCAAAGGCATCCTTGCCGGCCTCGGCATGGGTTGGCTCGCGAGCAGGTTTGGCAAGAAGAAGAAGGCGCCGCGAGATGACGAAAGCTTCTACAAGGATGAGGAAGACCGACGCTCTGGCCTCCACGGACCCCGCTACACGGGCGATGGCTTCCCATCCCCTACGCGAAACAGTCACGCCGGTGGTAGTAGGAGACATTCTCGGCAACCCTCGCGTCTCGGTAGCCGCCCGCCTCCCTCCCACTTGCTCAGCGATGAATCGTCGATTGTGGAGCCTCGCACGCATGGTGGCGCAGGCCCTCCCATGCCTCCTCTAACCAGTTCATACGCAGGCCATGGCGCGCCCGTCCCGCCCCGCCCCCGCCTCCGGGATCTGGCTTTGTGCCACCCCCATGCCTGGCCACGGCGGATCGCACCGGGATGTAACGGACCCAATCAGGATGCCGGCAATGCCTCCGGATCCCCTTGACTCGCGAAGCTCCCTGGATCGGGCCCCTGGCAATAAGTTGCAACGACGAGACTCATCGCGTCGGCGACGAGCTGGTGCCGAAGCTGCGGCTGCGGCTGCTGCGTCCGCTAGTGTTCTCGCCGCCGAGGAAGAGCAGCGGCGCCACCACGAGAGGGGGGCAGAGACTCGGATACCCCGACGAGACAGCCGCGGAAGACGACAGTTAAAGTGACCCTTCACGATGATCGAGTGAACCTCCGACGATTGACAGAGGAAGAAGCGGCGATGTCGAGACGCGAGCAGAGGCGGCGCCGTGGCGACTCGGCCAGCAGTATCTCGGGAACCGAAACTCCTAGCAGGCGGTATCGGCGAGACTCGAGCCAGAAGCCCCCGAGTCGGGTACCGGAATGACGGCCGACGCAGACTCGGCGCTATCTCCCCGAACCCGGCTTTTGCGGGGATACGCGACGGCCCAAAGACTCGGCCTACTACTCGGGTGCTGCTGGACGTTCGGCAATTACACCGCCGCATTACGGCCAGCCGGTCTCGAGCATGGGGAGCGACAGTCACGGTACCTGAGCGAGGCGATGAGCCCGTCACCTGGCGACAGGCCGGGCGGCTCGGCGGCGGAAAACAGGCGTAGGAGGCGGCAGCAGAGGCAGACGAGTCTGAGCACAAGGCCGGTGGCCGGCAACGACATGTTTGACTGAAATGGCTAATTGCACCAAGGGAATGTGTGACGATTTTGTTTTTCTTTTCATGCCTGTTTTCGAATTTCTTTTCTTTTTCTTCTCATCTTCCTGACTCTTTTCGAGGCATCTGCGAGAGATGATAACGAGTGTCATGACACCCGGGGAAAATGGGGAATATTCACGTTGGAGGGCCAAGTGGAAGACTGCATATGGGCGAGTTGGCACCGGGAAGCCATCGGCCTCGGCGTTTAGAGGAGTTGCTATTTCTTCTTTTTCTTTTCAGTTCCTGGACATCTTGACTCCTTTACGCCTAGGCACAAAGGCCTGCTTTTATTCCTTTTTTCCTCCTCTACTTCTCCCATATTCTCTCTCTTCTCTCCTCTCTGGCACCTCTGACCGGGGACTCGTCTAGGGCCCGCGGAGGGACGTGGCAAAAAGAGTGGACGGAGGTTTGAGTTTGGTTGGGAAATCATCGACCCGCTCAAGCTATGTAGCAACGTTTATAGACGAGGTGGCTCCAACACCACTTGACGTATCCTGGTGGTTTTGAGCCCTTTACATACTGAAATTTAATTCTGCTGAAACAAACCGCTTCCTTTATACCTGTGACTCCCTTTTGTTATTGGTGTGACGTCCTTGCAAACTCTCTTTTTAACGCTTCTATTTCCACGACCTGGTCGGAAGTATGCCTGGGGTCACGCCGGCGCCAAGGGGTGCTCCGCTTGGATGATGGAATAAATGAATCTATAGCTACAGCGCTGGTCCCTCGCCGAGCTCGCTCGCCCTGGAATACTGTCAACGATGATAAGTGCGATGGTCACTTTGTTCGTATTCGTCTTTTGTGAAGTGGTGAGTGTATTCATATCGCATTCGAAGGGCTTCACCGACGTGAATGGTAATGCCGGTCGTCCCGATCATGTCTGCCGTGTCTTCCGTCGCGCTCGTATTCTCGTTCCCGCTCCCTGTCTCGCTTATAGCTATCCTTGTCCCGTCCTCGAGATTCCCTCTCCTTTGCCTTTTCGCGATTGTAATCCGCGAGCCTCTTGGGCTTGGACGAGCCGCCCTTGCCGCCCTTGTGATCCCAGCCCCCGAGGTCCTCGGCATCTTTCAGCTCCTTGGCGCCTAGACCGAGCTGGTTGGGGCGGCGACGCACATCCTTGAACCCGGGGCGGGAGAATTCGCCGTTCCAACCCATGCCGCGGAGCATGGCGGCGCCGAACTCGCCGACGTCGATGCCGTTGTCGGCGGTGAGGAATCGGGAGGGGCGCTTCCTTGACGTCGTGGCGGAAGGCCTCGGCCTCGGAGAGGACAATCACCTTGTCCGGCTTGTCTCGGGTCTTTCCTGTGAGTCGGTCAATGGCCTCTTGCTCGATGGTCCGGGGAACCTCTTCTTTTCGACGCTCGGTGTCCTTCTTGCTTCCTTCCGGCGCGGCGTCGCGTGCTTTGTCGGCCTTTTTCGTCACGGTTAGGCCCCACTGGATGGGCTTGTCCTGGTCGGCGGGTTCAACTTCTTTGTTGCTCGACGATCCGCCGCCCGGAGCTGGCTCCTTCCTAGGCTGTACCCTGCTCCGCATCTTGTTTCGCAAGCTCTGTTCGGGCAGTTGGATGATTTTGGGCGTGTCCCCGAGTTCGATAATCTCTTCGCCTCGGCGCGGGCTCCCCGCCTCCTCCCATCCCGGTCCCTCTGGTCCCTCCGCCCATCGCGATGCCTCCCTTCGTCGCGGCGGCGGTTCTCCCGCCGCCACCAAAGGCTTTTGTCCTCCCGCCGCCCCCGCGCCTACTGCGGTCCGAGCCGGATCCCGAGTCTGAGTCGTCGCCGAGGGCGTTTGTGCGCGGGCGCTTGCCGAGGGTGGAGGAGGGGCTCGCGCGCCGACGGGAAGGGGGTGCTGCGTCCGAGGAGCCGAATTTTATCGACATGCGCGGCGCTTTTGGGGGCGCGTCGCGCAGGAGTCCATGCTGGAGTTGTGCGGGATGCAAGGTCGGAGGGGGCGAGACGAAAGGGGAGGGAGGGCGGGAGTGGGGGGGCGCCTAAATTCGTGCGCGCGAAACTGGGTTGGGGGCGGAGGAGAGGCGTGGTTGGAATGGTGTTGATAGCGTTTTGACTTTTCTCTTTCGATTTCGGGGTATCAATAATAGGTTGGCGGTCGAGAGGGTCTTGGAGCTGGGGAGTCGAGTCGAAGGGAAAAAAGTGACACAATCGTAGGTACTTGGCGCTGGTACATGGATCTATCGGGAGTGTAGACATCCAAGCCTCAAGCACCCTTCATCGATACCGCCACAGTGGCGCATGAGGTTGACCTCTCCTGTTTCCTGGTGCTGCAGAATGGAGGAGAGAACTCGCACTGTGAACGTCAGTGAAGCGTATCTTTTCTTGGCCCAAGCTTTGACTCCTCAGTTACTCTTGGGGAACGAAGTGCATGACCGTCCCCACATGCAATGGATGCTGGAGGCCAAATTCACGGGCCTGGCCACTCGGAACCCAAGCCAGTTGGCTCAGCTTCCTCTCTCGGAGCACTTGGGACTACTTTTCTTATTCTAGTGCCCGCTTTTCGCTAAACTTCTCTTTTCCTAGAGAAGTAGGCTGAAGAGGCACTCATTCAAAGAGGTGGAGCCAAATCCAAGCCTGATATTCACGCCCGCAAGTCACCTGTATCATCAGATAAAACCTGGAAAAAAAAGGAAGAAAAGGGGAAAAGGAAACAAAAGAGTGATCATGGAGGGTTGCGCATGAGCAAAGGAAAATCCGGATCAAATTGAGCTCCCGGGTTTTGAGCCGTGGGGGCCCCTTGCAGTCGTTACTTGGAGTTTCCTGGTACAACTAGACAGGGGGCCATGGAATTATTATGAGGATTAACCACGGCGGCATCGCGTGGGCTCGATGCTGGGAGGCATCATCAATGATCGTTGTGGAGAGATCGGGTCAAACTCTCCCGGTTCTCCCCGATTTCAGTTGGATGAGAGAACCGCCTCCGTTGGCACTATGACCACAAACTTCTACGGAGGAACCTGATCAATGATGGCTGATACTGGATCGGGCCTAAGATCTCGACCTTCAAAGAAAAGATTAGGCAACCAAATTCTATTTGGACATTGCACTGTGTGTTCGCCAGCCTAACCATATATGTGTACCTGCAGTGGCTTTGGAATGAACATTGCATGATCTCGACATCCATGCTCTGCCCGGGGTAACTAGCGCGACAGCGAATGTATACAGTGTGTGTTAAGACGCGACTCACCCGCACTCACATGGATCTCGATACCTGGCGTATTCGCCCCTCCACTTCCAACTATTAGCTACTGGTACCCCGTTCGGTCGCGCCTCTTTCCCCCATTCACACTCCATCAGCCGACATTACCCAACAGCGAGCCCGGCCACTGACAGTGGAAGCAAGGACGACCAAGGTTGGAAAGACGGGGGTAAAAAAAAATTAACAGACGCCTATTACTGGTAGGAGAAAAAAAACTCTCACCAGCACAGCAACACTAGAACCACCAAATCGAGACGAGACGAGGAATTTTCCGTGGATACTCACCATCGACTTGGGCAATCGCAATCAATTGCCACAACACAACAGCGCGATTTTCATCCCTCTTAATTACGTTTTTCATCTCCTACGGCCTCGATAATTATTGGCAAACATCCGTTTTGATGAAAAACGGATGTCGCGGCTTCGAATGCTATGACTGAGGTCGGGCCTGCCGATCGATCGAGGCTCTTGCGGTCAAAGAAGACGAGCGCAGGTATGGTTCAATTCCCACGATGGGGATTTTTTCCGGTTCGAATGAGCCCGAATTTGATGTGTTGACGATTATTTTCAGTTCAATTCTATCAACGAGGAAGCGGAAGTTCACGCAGTTCTTTGCCGCCGCCGCTGCGCCGACACCCTACCAAACTATGAGATCGCGAGCCCCAACGCGCCGAATGCGAGCCCCAGCGACTTCAATGCTTACGATCATTCCAGCGTCTTGCAGTACGTTTAAATACTTGGAAAAATATTTTTGCACTCGCCTTGTCGCGTTTGCCGCCCCTTCCCTCCCCTTTTCTGGTTATCATTGAATCGGCGCTCTCGCGTCGTTAACCGTTTGCGTCGCTAACACGTTCATGATGTAGGGGCAAGAAATTTGGCGACGCCAATGTCTCCAGCGCACCCGCGTTAAATCTTAATGGCCTCGCTCGATTCTTCCGAGTGGCAGGAATATGGGGGATTTTACCTGATGGCCAGCCTATCGCCGCAGCGGCGAATGGCGCGAGGCCAACCGGAGCTGGTGTATCAACGCAACCAACCGCACCGATCCAATCCTTGGGAAGCGTATCGGCGCCGCTCAACGACGATAAGAGGCGACCGGCATTAGCACCGAGCACTCTCGTTTCTAGCGCAGCCTCGACACCACCCGCCGTTGCATCCCGCGAAGCGAAGCCCAAGATCGCAGCATCGTCGCCACAGATCCCTCACCCGTCAACAACGGCAGGCGTCACGACCCGACCAGCCATTGAACACGGAATAAATGGGGTTGCGGAGAAGTCTGCTCAAAAACACGCCTCCGCCCCGCCGGTATCCGCCGCCGCGACGACGAAGCCAGTACCAGTCGCCGAGACACGAGCCCCCAACCTCTCGCTGGATCGGTTCCTCCCACGACGCACATTCCATCCCAGGCAAAGCCGTTGGTTCCTCTAGCACCGCGGACTTCCACGGCCCCGCCCACCGTTGCCCCTTCGACCGACTTGCCGACTCCTCTCGCGAGAGCTCAAGAGAGCGGACGGCAGCTGGAGACAGCATCATCGCCAGCATCTTCCGTCCCGAGCGCCCCAACGCCCGCAGTACACGATGTATCTGCGACTACGAGCCCGGAGAAGGAGGATGCCCAGTCTGTGCTAACCGAGAAGAAGACCGCCACTGACCAAGATGCCGTCATGGTGGACGCGCCAAGCGCTACGCCGCTATCGAAGCCTTCCTGCCTAGCACGTCAGGTCCCTCTCCCGCCTCCGCGGTACAACCCCCAACCGCAAACCATCTCAAATCTCAACCTGCAATGGTGGAAAAGAAGCCGATAGCAAACCCCACCACTCAAACCCCATCAACTACGCAACCTTCAATAACGACTACCGCCCCCGCTTCAAAACCACCAGCCACATTGGCACAGAAACAACTTCCTATCACTAAACCCCCAACTCCTCCCACACCCCATTCCGTTCAATCTCCATCCATACCTCCACGTCAACTGCCCGATGCGGCAAAGTCTGCAACCCCGGCTCCGGTTGAGGGCATGGACGTGGACTCGCGCAAGGCGGATGTTCCTACGAGGGCGCCTGTCGCAAAACCTGCTCCTGCGGAAGTGAAGCCATCATCCCAGTCGGTACCATCTCCTCAACCTTTCCAGCAGGCTGTCCCACACGTAGCGGAGACTCGTCAACCTGAGAGGGCAGTAACACGAGTATCATCTGGCGCCCTTCGTCAGAAGTCCGTTTCCGAGATTCTCGGTGGAACCCTCAAGTCGCAACGCCCGCTGGCAGCAGAGAAGGCGGTGCCGGGCACGAAGAGTGCACAGGGCTACCCCACGACACCGTCGACCTCGCGGCCCAAGGGCCAGTTTGAGAAGCGACGGGAAAGGGACCGGAATCAAGTATCAACGGTGGTGTTTGGAAAGCAATCCAAGCGTTCCGATGATAAGTCGATCGCGAACCAGAAACATCAAGGGACTTCGCCGGCGGATGATTACTTCACCCCCTCTTTATCGAAGGTTTCATCTCGAGATCATCTTGGATGAAGCCTCTAGGTGCTCTTTTAAACCAAGCGCACAAGAGCATCTCCTCTTCAGATGCTATGCTGGCCTATGAAGATGACCAGGCGTGCAAAGTCCTCAAGCGGGTCTATCTGCTTCAGCATACGAACAAGTGGTCTCTACGACAGCGAGAGCGGTGCGCCGAACCTACCCGACCTCCCTCCCATCTAGACGTTTTACTCCAGGAGATGAAGTGGATGCGGACGGACTTTCGGGAGGAGCGCAAGTGGAAGATGGCCATGGCAAGGATCCTCGCAACTGCGTGCGCCAAATGGCACGCCGCGACTCCGGAGGAGCGTCTTGCCCTTCAGGTTGCGGCACGTCCTCCACCAAAGGACAACGTGGTGCCAGAGGTCGACATGCAAGATGTAGACGCCGTGGCCGATGACGGCCAGCGTATGCCTGTCCTTGTGAAGGGCGATTCTGACGTATCAGGCATGAATGATGAGGTTGATATCATCTCCCCTCAGCCATATTCGCGCTTCCGGAGGATCAGGTGGTATTCGCTCTGCGTCGATCTCCAACGTCAGATCTGCTTTTGTCCGAACTACCTCTCTATGGGTCTCCCCTTAAAGTTCCGAGCTCTGATATCATGCAGCCTGAATATGACCCGGATGCTCTCTGGCGCCGCCCTGCTCTTCCCCTCAGCAAATACGTGGAAGGCGATATGAGGTTGGTAACGGAAGGGCAGCCTTCGTGGCAAACTAGATTCATGTATGAAGATGAATCGGAGGATGAAGAAGACCAGGACAAGTATCAGCCCGAGCCATCATCTACAAGTCGCCGGGACTGGCTTCCCCCGAGAAGACCGATGTCGCTTTATTTAATCCCGAGATGAAGCCTATCCGGGACCGCCTCTACGCGAGCCACCAGTTCAGGCCACCAAGCGAGCACCCTATGCCACCCCAAAGCTTTTACGAAAATCGCGTTGCGTCACAGTGGACTGCCGCGGAAGACGAGGAATTGAGGAACTTGGTGACCCAGTATCAATACAACTGGTCTCTCATCTCAGATATCCTCGCTCCTCGCTCGTCTTTTGTCTCTGGAGCCGAGAGACGTACCGCATGGGAGTGCTTTGAGAGATGGCTTCAGCTAGAACCCCTCTCCGCCGACCTCGCCAAGACCCAATACTTCCGCGCCTACAACCACCGCATTGAGAATGCTCAGCGTGTTGTTGCACAACAGCACCAGGCGGCCACCCAGCAGGCAGCCACCAACGGCCAACCGGCACCAAAACGCCGACAATGTGTACCAGTGAGGGTAGAGAGAAGACACAACAGGAGACATATCAACCTAATTGGCGCCATGATGAAGGTTGCCAAGAAGCGGGAAATGACTGCTCAGAAGCAACAAGCGCAAGCCACTATGATCGCGATGCGCAAAGCAAACGAGACCCCCAGCAGCAACAACCTCGCGCCCAACCCCCGACCAAAACGCCCAAGGATTACAGCATTATGAGATGGGAGCGTGACCAGGCGCTGGCTGAAAAGATGGCACAATATGCGCAGCGCCATGAGGCGCAAAAGAGGGTAAGCCACTTTCCAGTCTCTTCCCAGACACCGCCCAATTCTTGTGTCATCTCGTTCACAACTAACCCAAAAACTTTGATGGAGCAGGCTGCCATGCAAGCGAGACAAAACGCCTCCATGGCTAACGCCGCCGCCGTCGCGGCTGCCGCCACAGGCCAAGTGCCCCAAAACGCGGCTGCCGCCCAACTCGGCGGCGTCCCTCGTGTCAACCTGCCAAACCAGCTCCGACATGTGATGGGTGCCACTTTGGGGCAACCTTCACTCAATGCGGCCAACCCCGCCCTCGCTCGTCAAATGCCTCTCAACGGTGTACCCCAAGCGCAAATCCAGGCCGCCCTTCAGTCACAACAACACAGGATGCCTCTTGCGAACCCCCAAGAGGCACACGTCATTATGCAGGCTCGCCGCATCTCAGAACAGCAACGCGCAGCCGTGCAGCTCCAGCATCAACAAGGCGGCACGCCCCAACCGCAGGCATCTCCTCAGCCACAGGGCCAGCAGCAGGGGCAGCAACCAGCACCGCAGCAACAACAACAGCAACAATCCCAAGTTCAGAGTCAAGCGCAAGTTCAGGCGCAAGCCCAAGCGCAAGCCCAGGCGCAAGCCCAAGCCCAGGCGCAAGCCCAAGCACAGGCTCAGGCCCAAGCACAGGCTCAGGCCCAGGCCCAGGCAATGGCACGCGCTAACAGCGGACGGCAGGGCTCTCCTTCTAACGTTAGGAACGGACTCAACAGCCTCAACCAGCAAAACTACTTGGCTAACGCCCAGGCGGTAATGGCATCTTTTAACATTGGTGGCGCAAATGGCGTTGCCGCGTTGAACGCTCTCCAGAGCGCGGGCCTTCACCTCCCAACCGGTTCCCCCGCCCGCAAGCCGCGGCATCAACGCTACCCTTGGCCTTTCAGGCGCAGATCGCGGCACTGGAGGCGCAGTTTCGGCAGAAAAATCCCGGGGCTACTCCAGAACAGATCCAAAAGCTTGCTCAAGAACACCTTGCTCGGGTGCTTATGGCGCAACGAGCAAGTATGTCGCAACAAGCTATGAATGCGGCTGCTGGTGGCGTCGCACAAGCAGGAATCGTTAACGGCTTAGCTGGTGCTAGCCCAGCACAATACGCCGCGATGCTTAGGCAGCAACAGGCTCAGGCTCAAGCCCGGGCTCAAGCTCAAGCTCAAGCTCAAGCCCAAGCACAGGCACAAGCACAGGTTCAAGCCCAGCAAGTTCAGGTCCAAGCCCAAGCCCAGGCTCAAGTTCAAGCCCAGGTCCAGGCCCAGGCCCAGGCTCAGGCCAAGGCACAGGCGCAAGCTCAAGCTCAAGCAAAGGCACAGGCGCAGGCACAGGCGCAAGCACAGGCTAAGAATCAGATGCAGCAAGCGCAGGCACAGGCGCAGCAGGCGCAAAAGGCACAGGCACAGCAAGCACAGGGTCAAGGGCAGGTCCAGCCCAAGGCTCAAGGCCAAGCTCAAGGCCAAGCTCAAACCCAAGCTCAAGCTCAGGCTCAAGCGCAGGCTCAAGCTCAAGCTCAGGCGCAAGCTCAGGCTCAGGCGCAAGCTCAGGCTAAGGCGCAAGCTCACGCCCATGCCCACGCCCACGCCCAGGCTCAAGCGCTTGCCAAGGCCAAGGCTCACGCTCAAGCTCAAGCTCAAGCTCAAGCTCAAGCTCAAGCCCAGGCCCAGACTCAGGCCCAAGCTCAGGTTCAAGCTCAAGTTCAAGCTCAAGCGCTTGCCCAAGCTCAGGCCCAGGCTAAGGCGCAACAGAAACAGCAACAAGCTCCGCCAGCCACGCCAGCGCAGCCATCACCACAGGTTCAACCAGCCCAGCAGCCTCAATCAGCACATAGTACGCCTCAGCCGTCTGCGGCGACCCCAACCCTAGCAACACAGCAGCAGAGGACACCGAGCGGAAGTGCTACACCTGGACAGTGAGGTGTTTTACAAGTCATCTAGAGGAGGAGTATTTTATCTCAGCGATTCACCTTGGTTCTTATTACACTGGGCAAGCGTGGATTGGAAGCAACGGGGTTGTTTTTTTCTTGTCAAAATAGACGGGAACTGGTCCTTCGGTTCGGAGCATCCGTTATTCATGGGCAAAGGGGTATTTTTCCAAAGGGGTGAACATTTCTTGATAGAACAAGATCCCTAGCTTTTCGCGTCCGTTTCATAGCCTCTTTCTTCCTTGCTCTCTTCTAGATTAGCCCAAACCGAGGGCTCTTTGCTATTATAATTAAACACTGGCGGAATACAACCACTTCTGCCCTTCTCTTCTCTCCAAACGACTATTTACCCTCCCCAATGAACCTCGCATATGTATACGTTCGCAGGCTGAAGATGGTGGAGGATTTGTCCACCTTGATAAGATATGTCTAATGCCGAAATTGGCAGGCAGATCGAAACGATTTGTCAATATGCTGACTAAAGAATTCATGTTCGCGGCTGACGACGCAGGTCTTGGCCTGGCCTTGTGCAAATGAAGGAACGGCTAGGCTCAGATTATGGAATACAACAGGGAGCTTGGACAGAAACCAAGCCTAATGTACCGCTCCACCAAAAGGGTATGACGCAGTACCGCCGCGTCGCGATAAGGAAACTTGTTCGAATCCTGGGATCCATCTCGAGTCTATAGCCAACCCTTCGCCCACAACCAATCTCCCGACGGTCAAAATAGTCCCATCCCGGCTGAGAGAAAGGTCCAGCACAGGGCAAACCAACCTTTTTCTCTTTTTCTTTCTTTCCCGGCTGGTGGAGGAACTTCTCGTCGCCTCCTCTTGCCACATCCGCCAAGCTCCCGCAGCATTTGTGTCTTTCCCGTTGCCGGGCATATCTGCACCCGCAAGTTCATGTGTCCCTCAGCAGCCACCATCCGCGCTCGCTTGAGCCTCACCATCGGACCCTTTCCACGCAGTATACCCTAAATATTCTTCCTTTTGACCCAGGAACACACACACGAACAACACCCACCGGTCTCCGCGCGCGATGGCCTCGCGTCTTGCTGAAGCCGGATGGCAGCTTTTGAGTAGGTGACGCCTTCTTCTTCTCGTGTCCCCCTCGTGGCCCTTGCCCCTGTCCCTCCTCCCCCACCACCATTTCAGGCCTTTTCGAGGAGGAATTATGTTCACTAACGCTCGAGCTTTCTCTCACTTTAGGTCGGCAACTCGATGATGATTCTGACCCTGGTGGTACGACGCTTCCCAATGCTTATATCTACGCGAAACATCCCGCTTCCCCTTTCATTGTGACCGATCTCGGCGATGCGGCGCCAGGGGAGGAGGAGGAAGAGGAGCGAATGGAGATGGACGTTGAGGGCTAGGAATCATTTTGAACTAATCGTGGGGTTCTTTTTAGGCGGCGACGTCGCTCAAAGCGAGATCCCATCGTCATGGGCCATCTTAATCTCCATCTGCCTGCTCATCACGGCGCTCCTGACGAGTTATCTCCTCCAGCAGAAGAAGATTCAAGCTGTACACGAGACCGTCATATCTATTTTTGCAGGTTTGTGCTACCCCTTTCCATATCAAGTCGGCAATCGGTTTGGAGCACGTTCGGGACTTCCCACCGAAGAGCGGCAACAACGCGGCTGACTTGCGTTTAGGAATGGTTGTTGGTATCATCCTCCTCATCACCCCCGGAGACTCGATCCGAAACCTCATCAAATTCAATCCCGGGATCTTCTTTAACCTGCTTCTTCCCCGATCATTCTCTCTTCCGGCTATGAACTACACCAGGCCAACTTCTTCCAGAATATCGGCGTTATCCTCACCTTCGCCTTTGCCGGTACTTTTCTTTCGGCTATCGTCATCGGGTTTCTCATCTGGTTCTTCTCGCTCTTCCCCGGAACCATGGATTTGAGCCTCGTGGATGCCATCTCCGTCGGAGCCACCCTCTCGGCCACCGACCCTGTAACGATTCTGGCCATATTTAATTCGTACAAGGTGGACCCTAAACTCTACACCATCATTTTTGGGAGTCGATCTTGAACGATGCTATCGCCATCGTCATCTTCGAGACGGCACAGCGATACAAGCATGGAGCCGGGCCCGACATGGGATTTTTGAGCTTCTTGGAGGGCTCGGGCATCTTCTTGCTCGTGTTCTTTGGAAGTATGATGATCGGCGTGCTTGCGGGGTTGGCACGGCGTTGCTCCTAAAGTTTACGTACATTCGACGATACCCCAAGATTGAGAGCTGCCTCGTTGTTCTCTTTGCGTATGCCACCTACTTTTCTCCAACGGTGTGCATATGTCGGGTTAGTTCACCTACCATCCCAGCGGGCCAGTCCGTTTGAGCTAACAAAGTTTAGGTATCGTGTCACTTCTATTCTGCGGCATCACCATGAAGCACTACGCTTACTTCAACATGTCTCGCCGCACGCAACTGACTACCAAGTACCTTTTCCAGGTTCTGGCGCAACTGTCAGAAAATTTTATCTTCATTTACCTCGGACTCTCGCTATTCACGGATAACACCCTCGTCTTCCAACCTCCGCTCATCATCGTGACCGTTTTGGCGGTCTGCGCTGCTCGCTGGGTGGCCGTATTCCCGCTCTCGAAAGCAATCAATTTTGTCATCCGCCATAGGGCTAGGCGCCGCGGTGTCGAGGTTGCCGATGAACTTCCCTACAGCTACCAAGCTATGCTGTTCTGGGCAGGCCTTCGCGGTGCTGTGGGTGTAGCCTTGGCGGCTCTCCTAGCAGGCGATGCGAACTCGGCTGCTCTACGCGCCACGGTCCTGCTTGTCGTGGTACTCACGGTCATCATCTTTGGCGGCACGACGGCCCGCATGCTCGAAATTCTGGGTATTCGGACCGGTGTAGTCGAGGAGGCGGACAGCGATGATGAGTTTGACATCGAGTCCTTTGGAGGCTACAAGCCGGGTGGTTTCGCCGGAAGGCGTAATGGTGGGGTTGCGCTAGGTCGCCTAGGGCATTCTCGTGACCGTGGCCGCAGCAGTCATTTCTCATCGGGACATGCGGTCTCACCCAATACCAGCACCGGCCCACGGTTGAGTCGGAAGAACTCGGCACGCGGCGATGAGGCAGAGAGACCTGATCTTTGGCGGGCAGCAGGAGCCCTACAGAATCGGACATTGGAAGCGACATTGATACCTCGGACCTCCCGCCATCGGTACGGAGATCGCCTCGGCCCCGGGGAAGCCCTATGCTCGGCGAAGAAAGCGAGAACGCATTCCGCCGTTCCTCGCCCGCGACCGATTCTCCAGCTGGTGGTGGTGGTGCAGCAGCTAGCGCGAGAAAGGCCTTCCGGCAGCTGCTTTCGGCGGACGACCCGAGCGTGTTCTTCCGGCAGCTAGACGAGGACTTTATCAAGCCTACGTTGCTTCTTGACGGTGCAGGTGGCCGGGGAGGTAACGGCCATGGGTCGAGCGGTGGAGATGGTCACGGAGCTGGTGGGCCGAGCGGGCAATGATGGTATGAATAACTTCGGACGGACATTACAGGTCATAAGATGGGGTATGGTTAGTTGATGGGGCCGGCCTTGTCACGATTTGAGTTCATTTCTCTGCGCTATCGGTATTTCCCACTAGGCTTCCTAGGCACAGGAGCCTCTGTCGCATTTGCGTATTTGTATCTGTATGCTTAGATGAATTCAAGAAAACAAGGATGCCATTACATCTCTCGGCATCTTCCCAGAGAGCGTAGTATAAGTTGCGCAGTGGCTTGTAAGAGCGGAAACGACGCCCGGCGAAACCTAGGCCCGATGGTCTCGCCGGTCGTTCACACAGGTCCAAGCTCGTGTAACTCGCAACACATGTGGGAGACCAAGTCGGGCCGCGTTCGTCTGCGATATCGCAACGATGTCCTCCCCTCGTGTAAATGTCGAGCGGTGCCTCAAGCAGCGCAGTCACGGAGATATTTTCTTATTTTCCCTTTTCCTTTTTTTTGGTCCTTTCTTTTTCTTCTTTCTTGCCTTGCTTCTCCTCCAGGAACCCCTATCGCTCTCTTATCGAGGGACAATCTATTCCCTCTCTCAAGTTTAGAGCTACACGAGATTCCATATTTCCCAAAAGGAAATCTCGCGGGAAAGAGCGAATAGGTGGGTGTATACAGTGCTGTTTATTTCGTCTCGCACATGGGCGAGCGTGCTGCTCTCCTGGCCCACTTGCCCAGCATCAGCAGCAGCAACAGCAGTAGCAGTAAGTACTAAGGGGACATGCACTCAGGACCGATCCCGCAAAGGCAAGAAGGGCAGCTGGTTTCTCTCTGCTGCATCTACCTTTTATCTTCCTCCGCGCTTCATCTTGCCGTTTCTCTCTAGGTTTGGGGAGGTTTTTTGTTTCTTTTTTCTTTTTGGCCTGTTGGGTCCTTGCTGCCCTTCCTCTTGGTGCTTTTTATCTTCGTCAGAAAGAAAGGCGAGAGCTGATTTCCGAAGATACCCTCGAGCGGAAAGTGGAGAAGACTGCCGCATGCGTCGTCCCCATTGGCATCCCCGGCGATCATTTCTAAGGAGAATGGTGCCGTTCGTTCTTGACCATTAGTCCCATTCATTGATTTAATCGTGCCTCTTCCAGACAGTTATTTCAGTCAATCTTTTTGACTCCGTCTCCTTGTGCGGGATAATTGTGGGAAAGCTCAACCGGTCCTATCAAACCCACACAATGACGGCCGGCCAAGGCGAGACCGAGCCGCTCCTGGCACCCCGGCCGCAACCCAGCGATGCCGCCGAGGAAGAGTTAGCGAAATCTCTTGTTGTCGCCAAACCACGCAGCGCATGGCATCTCGTACTTCTCGCTATCGGGATCGGTGGCCTGCAGGTTGCATGGTCGGTGGACATGTCGAGCGGGTCGCCTTACCTCTTGTCGCTGGGGATGAGCAAGGTTTTGCTCGGTTTCGTACGGCTAGCGGGCCCCGTTATGGGGATCGTGGTGCAGCCGTACGTGGGAATGTTGAGCGACAAGTCCCGGTTCACCTGGGGACGGCGGCGGCCGTTCATCGTTGCGGGGACGATATGGTCGATTACGTCCATCATGTTCCTCGCTTGGGTGAGCGAGATTGTGACAGCAGTAGTCGGGGGACAGCAGGGCAATTCTGGTCAGGGCGTTGGCATTCGCAGCAGTCTACTCGCTCGAGCTCGGTCTCAACATCATCGAACCTACCCTCCGAGCACTCATTGTCGACACGGCGCCGGACCAGCAGGAGGCGGCCAACGGCATGGCGTCCCGAGGCATCGCGGTGGGAAACATTGTGGGATTCCTCGCAGGCAGCGTGGACTTGATGGAGTGGCTACCGCCGTGGCTGGGCAACACGCAGTTCCGGGTCCTCTGCGCATTTGCGAGCCTGATCCTCGCCGCGACAATCCTGACTACCGTCTTGTGCATTCACGAGTCGCCCGGAGGCGCTTCTGCCAAGACTGCCGGCGGCACCGAGGAAGGGGAGATTTTTCCTCGCGGCCCTCACGGGAGCAGCGACGGCGGGCATGCCCCTCAAGTCATCGGTCTTGGGGGATACCTCTCCGAGACGGCCAACGTGGTGGCGGGGTTATCGGAGCAGATACGCAAGCTCTGCGCGGTGCAGTTGTTTGCGTGCTTCGCCTTTACCCGGTGCTCTTCTACGCGTCAATGTACGTTGCGGAAATCTACGTCGAGCCGTTTCTGGAGAAGAACCCGCACATGAGCCCTAAAGAGCTCGATCGGTTATACGAGCAGGGCACCCAGAAAGGGTCCGCAGCGCTGTTCGTATCCTCCATAGTCATGCTCGTGACCACTGTGCTATTCCCCTGCTCGTGGAGCCCACGTACGACTCGCAAGAGGTTGCGCGGAACCCTCCAGGTGGCGTGGGTGGATTCCATTCCCAGGCCTCACATTGAAGCGAGCCTGGATCGCGTCCTTGATGCTTCTATCGGGGATCCTCTGCCTAGCGCCGTTTGTGAAGACAGCCGAGGTCGCTTCGTATCTTGTAGCCTCGCTAGGATACACGTGGGCCATTTTTGCATGGGCGCCCTTTGCCATCATCGGGGCGGACCGGCGAGAAGCGGAAATGGCGGCCCGCCTCGCGGCCTCGGAGCGCCCCTTGCTCTCCGGGGATGGGGACGGAAGCGGACAGGGCGGTCGCAGGCGCCTCCGTAGGCGGCTCCGAGGAAGTGACGCCGAGCGCGCTCACCCTGCAGCGGTGTGCGGGTCGGACGAGCAGGACCGTGCAGGGGCAATCTTGGGCATCCATAACATGGCAATGTGCACGGCGCAGCTCGCATCGACAGGAGTGGCCCTCATCGTGTTTGGCATCTGGCAGCAGCCTCGCGGGACGCCCAGGGATCACAGCTTGGGAATTATTTTGGGGGTCTCGGGTGTTGCCGGTCTGGTGTCAGTCTGGGTGGCCCGGGGATTCGCGGCAGGGTAGAGCCAACGGTGACTAGCGATGTATGAATTCATGTATACACTATCTTTTTACTTCTAACGCGTTCAATTTCTAAGCTCTTGCTTGACTTCTCTTCAGCGGTAGATTTTTTTCTTGTTCAAAAAGGAGGGGCATTTTCTTGTTCCTTGAGAACAAAAATCTGTGATCCCGGGCTTCCCGCCTCCTAGTCGCTTCCTCCCAGCCTTTGTCCCTCCGTTCGCGAGCTGACACGTAGGAGGACTTACGAGCATGAGCATGTATGACGCATTAAACGGAGATAGGTGAGCCTTTACACAGGAAGCACAGGGTTCGTCATGGGATCAACTCAATAATCGGCTGGTGTTCCCGGGGAGGCGCTGGACATACTCAAATTCCTCTATTCACGCTCCGCACACGACGCCGATCCCTCCGAACTAGCGCGGACACCTCGCCTTACTGCTCCTGCCTACATAGCTCGCTGCAATAATCTACTCGTCAAGCTTGTTCCTCCCTACCCGGTTTCTCGGTCGATAAGCTCTGGCTCGAATCGATTCCGTAAAGTAGCTGTGATATCGGCCTGGACGCAAGGGAAGCGGGGATCTATTTTCCCCAGCGAGCGCCAATCCTGGCCTGTTTCGGCTGTTGTTGGGCTACCCCGAAACGAAGGAATTCCGCCCGTTCCTCTCACGTCACGAGTAGCACGGAGGCGCCAGGCATGATGAAAGGGACGAAACAGGGCGACGGGTGCCCACCGAACCCCATCAATGGAACCCCATGGCAGAATAATTCCCCAGTCAGCCTTGACGCTGTATATTGCCCGGCATAGTTTGTGTGGGGGCCGCAACCTGGTTGGGGAAAGCGGAAAGCTCGACATTGGACAGACATTAAAGCCAGGGGAGAAAAGGAGACGGACCCCAATTAATGGGTTCGAGGGGGCGACTCGTTCGCTGGCTGGCCACCCGTTACAGGCTAATTAATATCGGGGACTCTGGCTTTTTGTTCCTGCGCACTTCGATTGCATTGCCCGCGCATTTAGCTTTTTCATCTTTCCATCTTACCCCAACTCTTGGCCCATAATTGTCGATGGTTCAGACAGATGAAGGGCCTCTACCCCCAATAACCTTGCCATTGTCACCCCCGCTCCGACTGTGACCTCGCGGGAGCCAAGGGGGAATTATACAACGCGCAGCCTGCCATTGAACGGAACACGGCACCGGTCGAAGAATAAGAAAGAGAGAGTGATGTGCGCCTGGCTCAAAGAATCCAAGTTTCAGTAGTGATGAGATCTGCTAGCAGAGAAGTCAGCCAGCAGGGCAGCGCGCGGCGGTGGTCGTGATGGGGGTGGTGGTGGCTCTTCCGGCCCGCAATGCTAATTTGCGTATATTGCTTCGTGACCCCGTCTGCCGCGCGCGCTGGAGATGCGATGAATGATGGGGTCTTGCTCGCAGTCACTTGAGCCGTCCCGGGACTCTGCAAATTAATTTTCCCTCTTCTTCGACGGCGGTGGCTTCTACGTCTTCTATTCCCCCTTCCCCACCCTCCCTGTTCCCTTTCCCGATACCAACGCGTGCGCCTACCCCAGGTGGGAATTCCCTTGTTAGTGTGTCCTGGCGGTATAGGTATCCATGGATATACATTTTTATATATTGGATTAGTGGGAAGTGGGCCGTAGCGAGCCTCTTGGACGGGGACTTATATAGCTCGTCTGTTCTCCTGATCCCGGCCTGGAGAAGGGGAGGGGCCTTCCTCCCCTTTTGCTTCCTCTTCTTCTCATGTATATATAGATACATATATATATATCGGTGCAGCCCCATTTCCAGGTTTTCTCCTTTTGTACCTTTCTCTTTCTCTCTCTCTTCCTCTTCTCGTCCTCGTCACCTCTTTTTCCTTCTCGGTTCCGTGCATCTTTTTGCTTTATCCTCTCCCCCTTCGCCATGAAGTTCTCCCCTTCGGCCCTCCTGGCCCTGGCGCCAGCCCTCGCCAACGCCGCCGTGATCTGGGACGGCCGATTCAACGATATGACGTCGTCGGCCGACCTGGACAAGTGGTCGTGGTCCAGCCAAGTGGGCGCGTACCAGTGGTATATCAAGGGCAGCAGCGCCACCTCGTCGTACATTAGCCTATCCGCGGACAACAAGAACCCGGCGGACACGGCGTCCAAGCAGGGCGCCAAGTTCACGCTCGACGGCACGGCGTTTTGGAACGGGCAGACGATGCGCCGCACGGAGCTGATCCCGCAGACCACGGCGGGCATCAACAAGGGCAAGGTGTTTTACCACTTCTCCATGATGCGCAAGGCGCAGAACGCGCCCAGCGTCAACAAGGAGCACCAGATTTGCTTCTTCGAGAGCCATTTTACCGAGATGAAGTACGGCTGGATCTCGGGCGAGCAGGGCACCGAGAACCCCAACTTGCAGTTTATGGTGTCGCAGAACAGCAAGTGGAAGACGGAGTGGGCTCCTGATGTGTGGCACAACATTGCCTATGAAATCGTGAGTTGACCCGAACAGGATGGTCCCCTTTCTTTTTCTTTTTTTTGTTTTACAAGTATTTCCCAACTTTGAGTGGAAGAACACCTGGTGGTCTAAAAGACTTTCCACCTCCTGAGACGTTGGGGGACTGTGGCTAACTCTCCTCGGCATCTAGGACTTTGGTGCCAACACCGTTGGTTTCTGGCACTCGGAGGGCGCCGACCCTCTCGAGCAAAAGGTCGCCCCTGTTTCGGCTTCTACCTCCTCCAACGGCGCTGACTGGCATCTCGGTGTCCTTGAGCTGCCTCGCGACGGCTACCCTCACGAGAACGAGGACTTTTACTTCTCCGGTGTTTACATCGAGGATGGTACGATTACCACCGACGTCGCCGGTCCCGGTAAGTAACATAACCCCTTCTTCTATGTACAGCCCGCCCTTATCTACCACCTCTCTCGTCTTCCGTCTCTTCTTTACCTCGCAGTGCACATACTCGAGAGATCAAAGGGGATGCAGTGACTCAATCAACGTGGGGGCATTACTGACACGAAATAATAGCGTAAATCGATGAAAAACAATCAATCTCGCCGATTAAGAGTTGACTTTCGGCATAAATTGCTTGCGGCGCGAGCTGGCGCGGGTGGAAGGGACAAACTGGACAGCAACATGGCTCAAGCGTGGCCTTGAGATGGGATAGAAACTGGATGACATCCCCCTCCTTTTTCTTTTTGGGGACTTCTTTGTCTTATTTCTTTCTACCACGTACATACATTGAACGATTCGAAGAAAATAAAAGTACATACACCAGCTTTGCGTTTCCCGTCGGACCTCTTTCTATTTCTGTTCCGGTGCTGTCCTGCTGGCTCCGTCTACCGTCGGTACATGCACGCAAAATGCTGCGACCAAGCTTTTAGCTAGCACTGCCCTCGTAACCTAGATGAAATATGGTATGTGGCCCATGACCGAGGACTATCCTCACCACGGAGAAAAAGCGAGAACGGAGCAGCCGATAAGGGACCATTTCATCGAGCCCTCATTCTTTTTACACTGGGCATACGCCAATGACCTCCCGCAGCGCGCCACCATGCTCCCACAGGCCGGTGAGGGGATTATAGTTCCCAGAGGGCGGCACCCATCGGTGGCAGTAGAGCAGGCCTTCTTGGCAGTACTTGGTAAGACATACGATTTCTACCACGGGGGTTGTGAGGGACTCTTCCGGCGGTGTCGCTGTCTCGGTGGGCAGGGCGGGGAGTCCGGACTCGGAAACGGTGGTGGGGTGGGGCAGGGCGGCGGCGGTGCCGAGAAGGAGGAGTAGCTGACCGAGGGGTGAAGGACGCATTTTGACAAGTTGGCGGGGTTCCTTTGGGTATTGAGCTCTTTCTTATTTACTCTGCCGTTGACAGGAGAGAAATGGCTTATGTGCGGGCGTGGAGGAGGCTGTTTGAGCGTGTAGGTTGAGCTGGGTGGGAGATGAGAGAGATGCGACCGATTCGGAAGAGTGCGACTTGAAGAATTGTTGATGCTACTCGTTGCTATGCGTAGGAGTGTGCCTTGGAGTAAGATCTTTTCGAGATGAACCTTGAAGAGAAAGAGACAAGAACTACAGAGACACAGCCGGAATATATAAAGATATATCTATACAAGAGCTGGAAGACAATGTTCATCAAGCGATAGCGACGAAGCCCGTCTTGACCGGCTTTTCCCCTTGAAGAAATTCCCCTCCGGCAGATATGGCTGTCCAAATGAAGCGGACCCCAATCTCGGCTCGAGTTGATCCTCTTTTCGCGTTGACGACATTTTACTTTTTTCTTTTTACTATTTTCCCTTTCTTTCTTTCTTGCTTTCTTCAAGCGCACTCCTTTGATCGCAAGGATGCAGCGCTGAGTAGTTGGCCCGATGGGTTGAGTGAGATCAGCGGTGGAAGCACCGATCCGGGTGGGGACGTCATTCCGAGCTGCGAATAAGACATGATATCATGTCGCCGACGAGGTCCTTTGCCCCGACAAAGGGACGCGCTCGGCGGGCGTTTATGGAATTCTGCGCCCCCTGACCCGTCTGGAGATGGAGAGATGAAAGCCTTTTCAGAGGAAACATAGGGGAAAGTCGAAGTGTGTCTTTTGCATCTTTGAATCTTGTCAAGAAGATGGTGGCTGTGGGTGCGGGCAGCGAACTGCCGACGTGGTACCTATGGCCATAAATGTACCAAGACAGCAGGTGGTAGTTCGATGAAGCTGTCTGGGGGCTTCAATGTTCGATATGTGACGCTCTTGGGTTTGGATTGGATACGAGCCAGCTTCCATTGCCTTGGTTCGCCATCATGGCTCCGCCATCAGTCTTTATTTACGATGCACAACGCATATTGACCAATATACTCTACGACATGCTGGGGTGGCCGTGTCGTCACTGACCCGTCAAGGCAGTCTAAATCAACCCAACCCTTATTACTGTTGGTAGATTTCTCTCTCGAGATATCCAGAATCTAGCCCTACATGTACTCATTTTCCCATTTCTCGCTCTCGGGGAAACCACTTTTCTTTTCCCAATTGCTTCCGAGCCCGAGTCTCCACTTCGCGGCAAAGCGTAACGTGTACATTCTCACAAGACAGACAGTGATTATCTATAGATATAGATTCTACCCAAAAAAGAATCGAGAATCATGCTCAAGACAGGGCATGACCAGCCTTGAGGAACAGGAAATAATGGGCCACATACTAGCCCCCAGAACACGGACCGAAGGGGAGAAAAGGCCCTGTTGTCCTGGAGCCAGATGTAGGTGATGAGGTACAGCACACGGCTGATGACGTACAGAGAGGAGAGCCAGTTCAGTATGTTCCTGTCAAGCTGGGCGATGTTGCCCGCCACGACCGCCGCGGCGTAGAGGCCGAGGGTCTCAAGCGAGTTGCTTGAGGCGGACTTGGCGCGGATGATGCGTCGCTTGATCTAAAAGCATGCCCGGACACACGAGTTTACGGTATTAAGATCAAGAAAAAGAAGGCTATTCCTCGCAAGGATAGACGGATATGGAAAGACGGAGATCAAAGGGGTCTTGGGCACTCACAGTCTTGTCCAGGGTAGAGTCGCTGGCAATGGTGGCCTCGAACTGGCGAGGGTTGTCCGGGTTGTACCTCGAGAGGCCTGACGAGACCCCATAAGCGTGAGGAGCCATGGCCAGAAAAAGGCCAATGGGGACCTATACCATTAGCCAATGCCCATACTTGTCATCTCACCAAAGAACAAAAAGCCCCCGTTTTGGTGGGTGGGGAGGGTGTTGCGAGACAAGCACTTTGCATAGTCTTCCCGCCCTGCAAAGGCGCACCCGCTCGAGAAAATGGTGCAGAGCACGACGTACCGTATACAACGAAATGTTGTTTTCGAACTCGATGAAACCCATGATGACGACGATGACGGTGGATAGCAACGCAGCTGCAGGAAGGGCAATGGTGATGAAAACAACTTAGTTGCAGTTCTATTGACTGGCGACGGGTGCAAAAGTGAAGAATTGAGAAAGTCGTTCAACAATTCGCCGAGCCTGGACCAAGTTCGCGGAATCGTGTTGGAGGCACGAGTTTTTGGAGGGTTGTTATTCCTAGTCCCGGCATATATACAGCTCTGAGCTCCGGCTCCTGGCGCGGAAGAATTAATGACCCGAAACGGGCTAGGATCTCGGTGCCTTGGGGTTCCATTCCATCCAGTCTCTATTATTGCCACTGACGTGCAACACTGATCGAAGCCTGCACCGAGGCTCACTTATTGGGCGGGCCAGCCAATCTTGGCCAGTGGGAAGGCCGGACGATTCTGCTAGGCACTCTGGCTTCCGTGTCACAAAGAGTGAGGATGGGGCAGTGTACGCTCGCTCCGATCCAACACTTGCTCGGGTTGGACCCTGGTCAACTCTACAATTCCCTGTTTCTTGTTTCTCCAAATGAAAAGAAGGAAGAACAAAAAACCACAGAGCTCGAGGAGCTGCTTCTTTATGGATCATCTTCTTGGTGTGATTTTCTCCCCATTCTCGACGTTTGACACCGTAGATCGCACTGCCCTGCCCTGCGGACCGGGTGGCAAGAGTGGGCACGGGGATCTTTGCCCCAAAACGACGGAGGGGCCGCCGAGAATCTGTGCAAGCGAATCAGTTTGGCTCCAGTTCAGAATAGGAAGCAAGGTAACATATCAACACCTGGCGTTGTATGACAGCAGACCGATCGCGTCGATCATCAGGGTTCCCTCAGGGTCTTCATTCCAATTCACCGTCGGCCTACACGTATTACCTTCAATGCCCGTAGTAGCCGACCGAGGACCGATTTGATATCCATCCGCAGATGTAGACTAGCTGATCCATCATGGATGGCTGGTGTAACCACGCTCCTTGGAAAATACGCTCCGATCCAATAACACACGCGCCAACCTCTACCTTAGCTGCTAGCGTGTGCGCTTTCAACAATAGACCCAAACGCTCCAAACGCTCCAAAGTGGGGGAACAAGCCCTACATAGGTCCATGAGATCAAACACCCCATCATCAGCCATCATCAGACCATTCGATAGTGGAGTGATACAAGTAGAGCAGTCGATGGCTTCGGCGCCTGAGGAGACCTGAACGGGCCTAGAACAAGCCAGAAAGAATAGTTTGCATAATTCCGTCATTTCTCAACTCCATCTCTTTGCCCTCCCCCACCATTGGCCCCCTCGCTTCCACGACTTGCTCAAGTTCCCATTTGGGCGACGACGTCTCCCCTCGCCATCGCCTTTCTTAGCCGCCACGAGGGCCTGTCCGTCTAGTCCCGAAGAATTTAAGCTTGTCTGAGCGCCAAGCCCACCGTTCTTAGTAGAAAACTGGGGAGGGCATGTGAAGGCCGGAAGCCCGGAAACAATGACCGGGACTGCAACGATGGTGCGCAGCTTCCCCTTTAGCTCGGCTCCATACCTCCTCCACACCCTCGTCTTCACACCTTGACGCATTCGCACCTTGACACATTCACACCTTTGCCTCTTCGCACCTTTACACCTTCCACCCCTCGTTTCAAGGCCAAGTCGAAACTCCCTCGCCCTCGCCCTCGCCCTCGCCATATACCCACTCCCACCCCCTTCTGCTCCCACCGCGGCGAGATGACGAGCCCTTCTTAACACCCCCTCCCTAACCCCTTGGCTATAGTGGTACCTATTATTGCATCTTGACCATCTCGACTGCTAGCCTGTCGATCGCTTGTCAGATTCCAGCCCGCTGGTTTGGATGGTGAGCCCACCCTCTCTGCCGTACACTAGGCATCTAGCAGCGACAAAGGTGCGAGCAGTCTGGACGTCATCTTGGACAGACGGTCACCCGGTTCTCGAGTGATCGACTGCAGGCGGCGTGTGATCATGCGGGTTCAGCAGAGCTTAGGTCGTCTTGATAAGCATCTGCGTAAGGGGCATGCGTTCAAGACAGGCATCTACGTGCTCGCGTTAGGTGTTGTATCTGTGAATCATCCCGGCAGGAGGAAACAAGAAAGAAAGAAAGAAAGAAAGAAAGAAACGAAACTAGAACTAGTCCGAAGAAACGCAAGAGATAATGTATATATATATATATATATATATATCCTCCCCTTCCTTCAGAAACCCACGACCTTTCTTGCACTTCTTGTTCCCGAGACAAGGCCAGGTCGAAACCTCGAAAACTAGATTATCCAAATTCCCACTGCCCGCCGCTATCTGGTTTTGTTGTCGTTAGGGCTAGAGAGGATATTCGTCCACCCATGGATTGGTGCAAAGGACCAGGAAGATCCCATCAAGTATGAGTGGGATTGCTGCCCCCTCGGTGATCTCCTTTCCCCTTTTCGCTTCCAACGTCCAATGGGCTGGTATTAGCTACATCTCGCTTCGCAATTCGTCTTCCACACCCTCTTTGGCAAGGAGGACCCCTACCCTGGCTGTTCGTATCTTTAAGAACTGCCGCATATGCCTGCTTTGGTCGGGACCTATCAGTGTATGTCGCAGCACCCCCTCTTATATCCTCGCTAGACTGGTGGTGTCTTGGGAATACCAGAAAAAGAACAAAAAAGAAGCGAGAGAGAAAGAGAAGAGGGTGGGGGACGTTCGTCAAAGTAGCGTGGTGATAGCGCTAATAATGCAGCCACGGTTTCTGAGCTAAGCCCCCGCCCAAAACCTCACGCAGCCTCGCGTCCCCTTCGAACTTTTGCCAACATAATGCCTTCGCCCTCCTCCAACCCGCACATCTCACTTGCCCTCACCGAGACGGCGGGGCTTTTCAGATACGAAGAAAAGATGATAGAAAAGTTCCCAATTTGATCAGTGGCCCTTGGCGAGAAGTGCGTGCCCTCCTTGTTGACCTTGATCCAACCTTGAGCCAGCACTGTCGAATGTCACTGTCTGGACAGTATGTCCCGCCAACGAGTCTCTGCTCCCAGTCGGCGCCGCCTCCCTCTCGACTTCAATATATCCTCACCCTCCAACCCCCGCCGCCGACAGCTCAACGCCCTCAACGCTTCTGTCATTACTTGCTGTCATGATACTCCTTTCTCCGATGATATGACGCGTGCACGGATCCCGAAGTCTACATAAAGTCTGGTGGTGGTTTTCGCCTGGGGAACTTTGTTTCCTTACCGGCCGTCCGCCTGCTTCCGTCTGCCTGCGTGGGTGCCGATCTCTCACGACACACAGATGCGGATTGCCTGTTTCGGTCCAAGACGCTAACGCCAAAATATCAAGAAGCACATGGAGTAGAACAGAGCATCAGACCTCCACTATCCTCGTTCAGAAACAGCCCGCGGGAACGGTGAACGCGCGTCGTGTTCTTTCTTGTTCTCGGCCCTTGAAATTTCGTGCCCAGTGCCGTGCCGGGGATCCCGCTTTCTTTGTCGTCTTTTTCTCTTCTTTTTGTTCTTTTCCTTTTTCTAATACGAAGGAATAGGAACATAGTTGAGAGGTGTGGTACAGAGCGTGTTTCCCCTCATGAGGTGCGGGCGAATCTGCAACCCCTACCCACGTAGCCTCGCTCCATGCCGAGCACCGTTGGCTGGCCCAATCCACAGCCAACGAGTTAAGAAATAATGCCCTCAGCGTGTCCGGAGATACGTAATTTTTGGGCACCTTGTGCTGTTGGTCTCCCAAGGGAGGTTGGTATAAGCTCACCAGCGATATGTCCCACCCACCTTCATGAACCACCCCTCATCCATGCAACGGTGACTGTTTGTACACCAAAAGTTCATTGGTGAAACGCTATTCAAGCCATTTCATTGTCTTGCGCACTCTATAGCAACCCATCCCCGTCTCGTCCTGCACGAGATTAAAAGAGAGATTTGATATATGATGGCGTTACTGGACTTGCATACGTTGGTTGTATTGAACGCTGTGGCTCTTGACTATCATCACGCCCCCACCCTTTTGAATACCATCGTGGACTGGCCTTCCGCCTTTGGTTCGACAAGCGACCTTGGGAAACTTCAGTTGAGCGAAATCGCCTAGGGCCGAGGCAGCTGCCTCGTGGGACGAGCACGGTGCGTGTGCGTAAGTTGGTCCCTCCCATCACCGCTCGATGGGTCGCGTTGCACCCTTCCGCAAAGATTCTCAAGACCGAATTAGGGTCGCCTAGATACGAAGCTTGCGAAGTTGTGAGATTCTGCGCCGCGTTTTGATTGCTTATCGATGTCGAATGTCGGCGGGTAGGACGGATTTTATGGTAGAATAACGAAGGCCAACTCCGCGTAATTGACTGGGAACAACAAGATATGTGCACTTGATTGCGAAGATCAATAGACGTACGGGAAGCTCCGGAGACAGGGTGGAAGAGGTGTGAGGGATGGGGGCAGGGGGCATGGCGTGAAGGAGGGCGCGTGCGTGCGGGGTGTGTAAGACCAGACCCCCATACCCAACTTGAACTCAGACAGCGAGGCACGTGTTTCTCGTGCGACCAACACTAGCCCTCTCGACGAGGCTTGTAATCGCTATTATGTTATCGTTACTTATAGTTATCTTGCCTTCAATCTCTGGCTCGATCCCTCTTGTCCCTCTAGTCGATGTTTTGACAACTGTGGCTGTAGGGTCTAGTTTGTGCTACCTGATTTGACACCTCCATGCCCATCTGGAGAGGCCCCGCCGCTAGTTCTTGTAGGTGGGTAGTAAGATACGGGATACTTGTCGAAGAGAAGATGGTGAGATATTGACCTCGCGCCGATCCCAAGAGAGAAAAAGCAAAGAAGAAAGAAGAATGATTGGAGCCAAGTGGGAATTCGGTGTTTTGGCCCGCGCTAGCCTTTGATGCACCCGCCTCCATTGGCTTCAGATACGCGGTTCCGCCGTAACTCTGCCCAGTTTGTGGAGGCCAAGTCGAAGAAAAGTGAGTCCATTGCCTTCTCGGTCAGAGGGATGCCCGCTTGGCGTGAGACGTGATGAGTGTGGCC